ATATATATTAATATCACAAAACAGTTAGAACGAAATAACACATCTATATATTTTTTTATTTTTTTTTTATTTTTTTATTTTTTAACTATTTACATTTTTAATTTTTTTATATTATATATAAATATATAACAATAATTATATATATATTTAATAAGTATCAGTCTACGTGTAATTTGATATTAATATATATATATATATAATTATATATATATTATTAGTAATACACCTATACAGTGTACGTATATGTGTATATATATATATATACTTAGATCATATATATATATATATATATATATATATATATATATATATATATATATATATATATATATATATATGATCTAAGTATATATTATTATTTTTTTACACTTTTAAACTTTTTTTAATTTAATTTTATTTTTATTTTCAGCTAGCAGGGGGACCACCTGTCATTATAGGCAGCCCCCCTGCTGGCAATGCAGGAGGCAGCTATCCCGGCCATGTGATTGTGAGGTCCTCACATGGCCAGGGGGGCTTCCAGGGGGTCGAACGTGCCGCGGGGGGCTCCCTGGGAGTCCCCCCCAACCGTGATCGCCGGCGTGGGATCGCCGGCAACCGGGTAAGTACAGAAAGACCGGAGGGTGTACTATTACGCCCAGCGGCGTTTAGAGCCGCTTAAAATAGGGCGTAATAGTACGCCCTCCGGTCTTAAGGGGTTAAAGGAGCACTCTGGTCACCATAACAACTTCATCTAAGCGTAGTTTTTATGGTGCCAGGAGGCCAACAGGCACTCTCTTACCTTAAGATTGCCTCCAGCGCCGGATCTCCAGGTCCCCCAGTGGCATCAGGCTACTGAAACTGAGTTTCAGGAAGGGCAGAGTGTGGCCGAGCAGGGTAGCCTCTGACTGGCTAGAGCGGTTAGCTGATGCTCTAGTCCAAGCCAATTGGCAGCTCCCCATTCATTAAAAAAGATACAGCACTCTGCACTTCCTGAAAGAAGCCGGATGCCGCTGGGGGAATCTGTATATCCGGCGCTGGAAGCAGGCTTTCAGGTTAAACTGTTTGAGAGTGCTTTAACCCCTTAAATTAAGAGCGCCCAGGGGCCTCCTGACACCATAATAACTTCAGGAACCTCCTGAGTGTCATTAACGTTAAATTAACAGTGGAGATAAAAACTTCTAAAGCAAGTTAACCTCAGACTGAAAATAAACCATTATTTCATGGGGGCTGTTTTAGTTACAGCCAGGTGAGGTGTAGCTAGGACTGAATGAACAAAAAAAAAAAAAAAAGGCGATTTATCTCCTAAATGGCAGATAATTGAGCAGTGAGACTGTAGGGATTGATCTATACACTAGTAGTTTTGATGCTTAGAGTAACCCTTTCAAAGCAATGTTAACAAACACTCTCTTACTTCTTCAGGCAGGGATTCTGACTGGTATGGGGTTGCGCCTTTGAATATTTCATTGTAGAAGATGATGGAGCCACTGATTCTAAAATTTGCCCAGCACTCTGCCTCTGCTGCTGGTCAATGTGCTGTTGGAGAATCAATCCACGTCCTGTCGCCATTACTCAAAGAATCAAATGTCAACAATATTAACCTAAAAACACATTAAAGCTTTAAATTAGTTTCTTCGTTGCTCCAGACAAGCCACATAAAATATCTTGTGCGCATGATTTATTAGACATGCACACGTTTTAACTTTTAACTTGTGTACATGATCTTAAAGCGGCTTTGTCACCCTCTTGGTGTTTGGTGGCCAAGAGTTTAGCGAATATAAGGCCTAGGGGAGGCTGACACACACATACAATTCTAACAGCATATAAAAAGTTAGACTGGCACTGTTATCCCCCCTGTAAAATGGGTATTTCATAAAGAAAGAATCGTTATGAAATACTCATTATGACTGTGTTGGAATTTCAATGAAATTCCAACCCTGTGAAGAAACTCTGGGACTACTTTGTATTTCTCCTCCGCCTGACTTTTTTGACACAAAGCGTAGTGTAAGAGTCAATCACTGCAGCCGTCATCATTGACAGCTGCAGGGAATCAGCTGTCTACAGAGGATTCTGCAGTCTTGCGGTTTCCCCAATCGAACTTAATGCTGTACTCTTGCACATGCGTTGGCACCGAAGAGGACTCTGCTGGATCAAGGTGGCGATGCCCATTAGTGACAGGTTCATGTATGTAAACTCCCCTTTATCTGCCCCCCTGGCTACCGAACTTCCAGCGGTGATGTCAAATTCATGTTACAAATTCAGCAAAGTCCTCAAACGGTGAAAGTGCCACTTTAAAGAGACACTATAGTCACCAGAACTACAGCTTAATATAGTTGCTATGGTGTGTATAGCATGTCCCTGCAGGCTTTTTACGTTGCTGCCTAGTAACACCTCTGGTGGAAGTAACCTTTTTTTATTGAGATGCATTGATTGCAGCGCATGTTTTGCAGTGAATGAGTAATAGGGTCCTGATGCTTTCTTATGGAAAAGCATTAGATTGCCTAACATTCTAGCTTGATGATCTCAGCCAAGGAGGCGGAACAGGGGTGTGGTCACTTTTGGTATGGCAAAATGTTTGTACTATAATGGCTGTACCATTTCCTATGTTTAAGTTGTTATGTCATGTAACCTTGCATGCTTTGAAAACAGACTGACCGCGGATATAATAATAAATGTCAGAAAAAATGGGTGCAGAATTACGCCTATATTTTATACACTGTCAGTATCATTAATCCTGAAAAATTACACAAAAAAGTGTCTGTATGGAAGTGATGGAAAAAATAGGTGCAAAGTGGAAATATGACAAAAAATAATAATAATTAAAACAGATAGATACAACACTCTATATACCCACATCATAACACAGAAGATAACTTTTTGGGATATCACAGCAGTTTTCTCATTTTCAGTCTATGTTACAGGTCATGTTGAAAAAATACTTTTTTGGGGATGGAGGAGTTGAATCTCTCTTTAACAAACTACTGGTTTTAAAACAGTCTACCAAACAAAGCAGCCCTATGGCAAGAGATCCTCATGTAGTGCAGGAAATAAACCAAAACATACATACACATATATATATATATATATATAGGCTTACCTAAACTATACATGGAAGTAGAAGCATATGTGTATTATTTTACATTTGTATAGTCCTCAAATGTCCCCTCCACCACCTAGCACAGCCAGGCTCCACTCACAGCTCGCTCTCTGTTTACAGCTGGGACCGGGAGTAACTAATGGAAACCAGCTAGAGAGGAGTCACATGGAGGGGAGGGGCTCTGTCTAAAGCCCTGTCAGCTTACTGAACCAGCACTCCATGGCACCTGTCATTTAATATATACCCAGCACTCCATGGCACCTGTCATTTAATATATACCCAGCACCCCATGGTACCTGTCATTTAATATATACCCAGCACTCCATGGTACCTGTCATTTAATATATAGCCAGCACCCCATGGTACCTGTTATTTAATATATACCCAGCACCCCATGGTACCTGTCATTTAATATATACCCAGCACTCCATGGTACCTGTCATTTAATATATACCCAGCACACCATGGCACCTGTCATTTAATATATACCCAGGACTCCATGGCACCTGTCATTTAATATATACCCAGCACTCCATGGTACCTGTCATTTAATATATACCCAGCACCCCATGGTACCTGTCATTTAAGATATAACCAGCACTCCATGGTACCTGTCATTTAATATATACCCAGCACCCCATGGTACCTGTCATTTAATATATAGCCAGCACCCCATGGTACCTGTCATTTAATATATACCCAGCACACCATGGCACCTGTCATTTAATATATACCCAGCACCCCATGGTACCTGTCATATAATATATAACCAGCACCCCATGGTACCTGTCATTTAATATATAGCCAGCACCCCATGGCACCTGTCATTTAATATATACCCAGCACACCATGGTACCTGTCATTTAATATATACCCAGCACTCCATGGTACCTGTCCTTTAATATATACCCAGCACTCCATGGTACCTGTCCTTTAATATATACCCAGCACTGCATGGCACCTGTCATATAATATATACCCAGCACACCATGGTACCTGTCATTTAATATATACCCAGCACTGCATGGCACCTGTCATATAATATATACCCAGCACACCATGGTACCTGTCATTTAATATATACCCAGCACTCCATGGTACCTGTCATTTAATATATACCCAGCACTCCATGGTACCTGTCCTTTAATATATACCCAGCACACCATGGTACCTGTCATTTAATATATACCCAGCACACCATGGTACCTGTCATTTAATATATACCCAGCACTCCATGGTACCTGTCCTTTAATATATACCCAGCACTCCATGGTACCTGTCATTTAATATATACCCAGCACTGCATGGCACCTGTCATATAATATATACCCAGCACACCATGGTACCTGTCATTTAATATATACCCAGGACTCCATGGTACCTGTCATTTAATATATACCCAGCACTGCATGGCACCTGTCATATAATATATACCCAGCACTCCATGGTACCTGTCATTTAATATATACCCAGCATGGTATCTGTCATTTAATCTATGAGTTGCTAGCTGGGTGTGTGCCATCCTACATAGACAGTGTTAATGGCACACTAGCAGGACTCATGCCAAGCTGCCCATTGTCTTTTATTGAACTCTCCCAATACACAGTGGCCGGTGTTCATTAGGCTGATACCTTGCCCGCAGTGTCTGATACTGTATAATGTGTGCTCAGTTTGGGTATGACTCCGTGTGTTATTTACATGGCGGTTACACACTCCTCTCACATTACCCAGCTCTCAGACAGTCACCGTGCACACGCACAGTCGTGAGGGAGGTCTCTACCAGCAAGGAAGCGGCATGGCTGTCAAGTCGTCGCGCTGTATGCTGGGAGTTGTAGTTTAAATTACCGCAAGATTGAATGAAATCTCAGCGGCTTTGTACTACAATTCCCGACACGCCCATTCCACTGGGCAGCCATCTGATTGGATAGGCGTGTGTGCCCAGGAGGGGGTGTGCTGGGGTCAGTGCAGCTAGCAAGGCCTCTGTGGGCAGAGGGGAATTTTCATTGTGGATGCTGGGCTTTGTATTGTGACTTGTAATCATACCTAGCAGTGTGAGAACTGTGTATTAATGTTATTAGCTGGTAGACGCTGACAGCATGCTGCACCAGTGTTTGTGGAGAGCCCTTGTGTGCAGACACAGGCTCTTAGGATCCAAGTTACCATTAATTGAGCAGGCCCATCACAAGGCTACCATAGGCAGCCTGGCAGGGCTGGGGTCACAACATGGAAGATCCCTGGCTATTCCTAAGGCCTATGTCCTAGTCTCTGCAAAGCAAAATCTGTGCACAAGCAGGTGCTGGCTGCAGGTAAGGGAACAGAAGAGCCACAACAAACCAGTGTCTTTACAAACCAGGAGTGAGGGGGTATCACCACAAACAACTACTCAAAAAGGTATATATATATGCCACAAAATGAAAAAAAAAAAAAATATATATATATATACTGCATGATGTGTTGTATGGATAGTGCCTTATGTATTTTAGAGTTATTTCACTTTTAAAAAGTTGCTTAGTGATGCTTAATACAGCTATGGTAGTCATTTAAATTGATTTTGTCATCAGCTGTTATTTTTTTTTAGGTCCCCTCACTAAGTTATCCCCCTAAAGTATTTTTTCACCTTTTTCTTTTAAATCCTTGATTGCGGCACTGGATCTTTTTTCTTATGCGCCACCATTTTATGAATCCCATCAGTGATTGATTCTGTCTGCCCTCAATTGCCCATACTTTGCATGTGCTGAAATTCTCTTGTTGAGGATTATGCGGCAAAAAGGGAGCATTGCGAGAACAAAGGCGAGTGACAAGATAGAGGTGAGTATTGTGGGACAATTTAGTTGTCAAAGGAAGTTGAGCTTACCTTATGTTCCATCCTTTGTCAAGGATAGAAAAAATATTTTATGAGAAGATAAGAAAGGAACAAAAGAACATTTAAATAGAAGAAGAGAAGAGGAATCCGTTTAAACAAGGTAAGTTTGTCATAACACAGGTGCTTTACGTAGCCATGCAAAATAACCCCCCACCCCAAATTAAAATCCTTAAAGCAGCACTGCTCCCATGAAAAATTGTTATAAAAATAGAATCTTTATGAAACACTAATTTCCACTGTTAGAATTTAACTGAAAATCCAACCCAGTCATGAGACATACAGAGACAAAGTGGACTTTTTATGTCTCCTCCACCTTACTTTAGTAGACTCAAGGTGGAATTTAAGAGTCAATACCAAAGAGCAGCATGAGAAAGATGGCGGTGCCCACAATAGATAGGTTCAGGTAAGTAATCTCACCCTTACCACCAGCGACAAAGTCCCTAGACGGTGACAGTGCCGTTTTAATTCTAATTTTTAAGATAGATCATGACTCTCTTGATTTATTCACTAAACTGTAAATTGTCAGGAATTGACAAGACCATTTTAGTTCAAAAAGTAGCGGAGTTGGAGAATTTCAAATTTCTGCTTGTTTTGACCTAAATGTCAAATTATCTGACTACTCACAATTTAATTAATAAACCTGCTTGTGTTTAAAATGGGAATACTTTTGGATGGATTTTCAAAAACCATTACTTTTGTTTGACAGCCTTAGCAAAATAAAACATTTTCCCTTCTTTAGAATAATGTTCTTTTATACTGAATGGACTGAAGACTGTTTTCGTTGTTCGAATTAAATTGAGGATGTTAAATAATATCTTAACACCGTTAAAGGGTTTTATGCTGTCCTACAGAAAGTGGGCTTTAAAGCATGTAGGGCGGCATAGAACATATATGCATATTTGCAGTAAGCAATGTTACAAGGCATAGAACGTATACTGCATATTTGGTGTGAGCAACATTAAATCCCTGCTCACACCAGAAAGTTCGGCTCCCCTCTGTCAGCTGGGGCAATTTTAGTGGCCCCAGACTTTTTGATGAGCTGCTTGCAGTAATTTAAATACCTTTAACTAGATCACTGTGTTAAGAGGGTTAAATCCCTGCTCACACCAGGATACCTCTGTCAGATAAGGCTATTTTTAGTGACCCCGGACTGACAGGTGAGCTACATGCTGAACTCTGAGTGAGATTGGCATGCGGTTCTTTCAATGGGGATTTAAGGGTGCAGTGTACTGTGAGTAGGGTTAAATCCATGTTTACAGCAGGAAACCCACCAATAGATACTTGGGGCTCCCCTCTCCTAGCTGGGGCCACTTTTTTAGTGTCTTCAGACTTTTTGATGAGCTAAATGCTGCATTGGAAGTCAGCACAGAGTGTGGCTTCTGTAAGGCACTTGCCCACCTGCGTACTTCCCTTTGTCAGGCTGCACAAGCTGAATGCTTCTCATGAGCATGCAGCTCCTCTTCTCAGGTTGCGCAGTCCAAAAGCTCTATGTGGACGCACAGCCTGAACAGGAAATCCTTCATACTTACCATTCAGGCTGGGGGACACCTCCCTCTGCTGGTTCTCGCGGGCTGAAATTCTCCTAGCCGTTTTCTTCCCTGTAACATCTTAGACGCTGCCCGCTTGAATAGCGCGTCTTTTGTCTGTTCAAAAAACGGCCACACTTAAAGTGACCACGTCATCTAGGCAATCCCATATCCAATCAATATGGAGTTGCGGAGATGACATGAACCAATCAGAAAGTATGTTACCTTTATATAAAGTTAATTTTGGTCTTTGTATATTGCCCTATCGTTGTTTCTGCCTGAGACACGTTAGTGCTCATAGTAAGTGTCTCTTGATATAGTTTGATATTGACCTTTGCTTGTATTTGACTTTGTGAGTTCTGGTTTCCTGACCCAGCTTCTTATTCTGTTTATCCATATTTCTATGTCCCTGACCTATTGTCCGGTAATGCTTGTATCTAGAACCTTCGTTTGTGGGATTCACCAGTCCTGTACATTGGCGTACAACCCTGCGACCACTTGTTCTGTAGTCTTTTAAAAATGCCTTAGTGTTAGTAGGGTTAAATCCCTGCTCCCCATTTTCAGCTGGGGCTTTATTTAGTGGCTCAGTACTGATATTAGCAGAGGGACACTTTTGGGAATAGGATTAAATTAGGAATTACAATGATGTTTTAAGATTACGTTTAGAATAAATATTAGGTTTATATTTAAGATGGGTTTAGGATTGGAATTAGGTTTCATATTGGGGTTTGGATTAGGAGAATTGAGGCAGGCTGATGATCAGCTGGGCTCATAGAGAGCAGGGCAGTTGCAAGGATTTTTCATGCAGACTCGCACACACAGAGACCCATACACACAAACAGACCCACATGTGCTGACCCATACACAGACCGATACATACACCCACACACACACTGTCCCATGCAGACACACAGAGACCCACACAGACCCCAGCAGACTGACATACACAAACATACTGACACACATTCTATGAAAGATACTGTGCATCCTCTCTTACTTTCATTGCACTTTGCTCTTCATTTCTGTCTTTACTGCGCCCAGCAGCCAACACTTTTGTCCCAGCCCTACTTCCTGTTATTCTCCTGCCCCCTTGTCCCTACATACAGGGCAAGGGGCAGGAGCGAGTAAATGACGAGCCCTTGTGCTGCTGCCGTGCTTGACTGGAAGAAGGGTTCCGACTTAGCAGGCTGTGGTGAATGCCGGACCGACATTCTACCGGGTGCTAGTCTACAAGTAAGTGCTCCCTAGTGCCCAGTAACGCGTCCGGCGGCTGCCGCCCACTATATATAATCAATCCCATTTGATAAGGGGGTGACCAGACAAGCAGTAAAGCCACTGCTGGTGCCCCCCTAAGTAGGTGCCCTAGGCGGCCGCCTACTCATCCTATAGGACGCGCCAGCTCTGATAGAGAGCTTAGGCGGGCTGGCTCATGAATACTTGAAGGAAGCATGCTGGCTGTCGGTGGAGAGCTGAGGGAAGCAGGTGGTGGGCGGATAACTGAGCCTGGAGGCGGCGAGGAGCTGTAATCTCCCTGCTCTGCTCCCTGCAGTGATGCAGAGAGCCGGAGTATGACGTCATTCCAGCCTGCATCTCTAAACCGTGCAGGAGGAAGTAGAGGAGAGAGATGACAGCAGCCTCCTGGTCCCCAGGGAAACAGATCCACTTCAGTTCTCCCAAAGGTAGGGAGACTGGGTGGATAGATTAAAACAAAACAAATAATTTGTGAGAGTGAGTGTTGCAATATCAGTGTGTGTGTGTCTGTCAGGGAGTGTGTATGTTTAGTGACCTGCTCTGCTCCAATCACATGGGAAAGGTGTTTTTACTCACCTTTATTCCCATGCCATGCTGGTGACGCTGCAACTGGCCCAACCTCCATGGCTTAGATCATCAATCTTGATGATCTCAGCCAAACCAATGCTTTCCTTTGGGAAAGCTTTGATGGACTATTGCGCATGAACGGAAAAACGCCACGCTGCGCCAATCAACTTCTCCTCATGAATGCATTGAATCAAAAATCCCTTTAGGGAACATTAACGTAGGTGCTGAACACTGTACAGGAAGCACCTCTAGCATGACTGTCACTAGAGGTGTTACTAGGCAGCAATGTAATCACTGCCTTTTGTCTGAAAAGGCAATGTTTACATTGAAACCCATGCAGGGTCAGGATATAGATATCAACAGCTAGCTGTTTCTGGTGACACCTGTTTCTGGTGACTTTAGTGTCCATTTAAGAATTCTAAGCTATTCATTTTCACAAAACATCTTGAAATGGGTATACAAAGCGGGTTATTCTGTAATCAGGAGATAGTTAAAGGACCACTATAGGCACCCAGACCACTTCAGCTCAATGTAGTGGTCTGGGTGCCAGGTCCTTCTAGGGTTAACCCTTCCTGCTGTAAACATACTGCTATGCTTACATTAGGGTTAATCCAGCCACTGTGATTTTCACAGTGAGAAGACGCCAGCGTCCATAGGAAAGCATTGAGAATGTTTGAGTGAGCCCGGCGCTGGAGAAAGGTAAGCCTTTAACCTCTTCCTCCCCCAAGAGCCCGGCAGGAGGGGGGCCATGAGGGTGGGGGTGACCTATTAATACTATAGTGCCAGAAAAACGAGTTTTTTTTCCTGGCACAATAGTGGTCCTTTAAGCACATTTTAGGTGTTTGTTTTTTGTTTTGTTTTTTATTACAGTAGCAAATATCAAGTTTAAAAAAAATATATATATATATATATATATATATATATATATATATATATATATACACCTCTAAATTGCAATGTATATGTAAGAAAATGTGAAAATAAAATACCATAAACTTTGAAAGAAATTGGTGCTTTAATTGCTGTAATAAAGCTCAAAATATACCATAAGACATCCTGTGATGTCTAATTTTATAAATGGTATGTATTTATGAGGTGATTTTAACTGTCAAACTGATACAAAGCCCGAAAAATGCAGAAAAGGCAAACTCCTCTTTCAAAATTCTAACTGTAAACAGTCAGGTCTGTTATATGGCACTGTAACTGAGCAAGATCGTGCCAAAGGTATTCATTAAGGGTATTGTTTTATTCAGAAGACTTTGCTCAACATAATTTGAGGAGGGGGCTTGATCACAGTGGCACATATCAGATTTGAAAAATGACCGGTTAAAATGTTTTGTGTATGCAAAAAATACAAAATAAATATTTTACCACATATTTCGACCTAAACGGGTGAAAAAATGGCAACATATTAAGGCACAATCTACACCAAATGAGAGAAACTGGAGTGTATCCTTTTACAACTGGTAGACTTTGTAAAGTACTTTAAACAATCAAACTGCTATAACACCCCAAAATGAGCCTTATGCCTATCAAATCCATATCTCAAATTCTAACAGGAAAAACTGAAATGGTCAGGTCTCTTTTATGATGCTGTACCTTCACAGGATAGTGATAAAGGCATAGATTGGGGGTATTGCTGTATTTAGAAAATGTAGCTGAACTCTTAATGGGTTTTTTCAAAGTGGAAGCACACATCAATTTTTCTAAATGAATGTTAAAAATCAGACAAAAATAAATTTTGCTCCAATATTTAGCAGAGATTGGCAGTTAAATGGCTACATAATAAATGTCGAGATACCTTTAGGTAAATAGCATGTGGCTATACTTTTGTGTGGCAATTGTTTTTTTTTTGTGACAGCTAATGAGCTTATTAGGCAAACATACCAACTTCTAACATTACTCCACATTGAAGTTTTATTTTATCCCTTGTATTTTCTGACCTGTAATTACCAAAAAATAAACTGAAATCCTACACTTATTTTGTGCCCTGTAAATCAGGACAAATAAATGAATTTGTTTGGAACTACTTTTCATAAGGTGCACTAATTATACACACATTATTATTGCAGCCTTTACAAGCTCTTTTAAGCTATACCCCTAATCAATACATACCTGACAAATTCATGAATGTGTTTATTGGGCGTATATCTACTAAACAGTGAATATTTTTCTTTTCCTGTTGGCAGTGGATAGCTCCTTTAAGGCACCACTGCTGCTATGATGCCAGGGGTATGAATAGTTCACCAATGTAGCCTATCCCCCACCTATGCAACTTGCCCTTCTTGGACTTGCATTTCCCCCAAGCATAATGCTTTTATCTCATGACGTTGTCACGCTAGCTTTATTGCCAGACCTCCATCAGAATGAATTTAGATCTGTACTTTTTCTGCAAAATCCTGTAACACATTCACATAGGACAGAAAGATCATATCTTGCTCCCCTCTATTGTCAGTCAATTGACCGGTGATGGGAGTAACCATATATGTATATAGATTTATTTTATAATTCTGCTAGCAATGTTTAGATACCCCCTCCCTTATTTATTATAACTATTAAGTGCACATGCCTATTTTAACTTTCATGCCTATGGGAAGGACTACAATTGAGAAAATGCTGTTAAGAATTGTATAAACCAAAATAAACTGCTCTGCTTGATATAAAAGCTTCATTTTGATTCCTGTTTTTCAGTATAGAGGCAGAATTGTCCAGAAAATAAAAATACAGATTTTAGAGAATAAGAAATAGCTGACCAGATTTTGAGAAAACATGTTGTTACTTTTCTAAACCACATGGTCACAACAGCTGTTTATATAAAGCTTTTGAGTGGTTTGAAAAAAATCCTATATTCTCCCAGCATCTAAAGGCTAGTTGCTTATATAATGGGGAAATCTTAGACAGCAGTAATACGTGCAAGCAACCTGCCCCAGCACTCTCAACCTATTGTCCTTGTTAAACAGATATGTGGATGCAGTTTCTTAATAACAGACTAGATGCTTCTGTTTAGGCACCAGGATAGTCTAGGAAATGGCAAAAAAAAAAAAGGTGGTGGAAGGGTATCCAAAGACGGTTAGCACCATAACCACTACAAGCAGCTTGTAGTGGTTATGGGGCCAAAGTGCAAGACCTTAAACTAAACTATTGTGGTTTTAGTGCTTCAGGAGTTGTTCATGTCTCTTGGGAGCTTCTTTCTTTAGAGGTAGGCAAGTCTCATCTTGGCAAGGCATGGTTTGAGCTTGGTTGTGTGAGGCAGATGGCAACGGCAGTATATATTTTGTGTGATCTTGGCTCGACATCTTGCATTAAACGCAGAGCCAAACTATTGGCTCAAATCTGGCTCCCCCAGCTCGTTTGTTTATGGAATCTGTAACAGCAGTGTTTTCCCTAATAACCTACCATATAAATAAAATCTGCCAAATTTGTCAGATTTCATTAATGTATGAAGAGTTCAATTACACACAAGGCTGACTTCATAGAAAACTACAGATTTTATAATTATTTGGGGATACTGTTACTTGCATACATAAGCTATTTGTTTTATGTTCTGATATTTTTGTCTACAGTTGCAATTACAAAATGTGCTACTATGCAATATGTTATGTTTTTATTATCCAAGTGCCCAGTCTCTTTCATAAGCATACAATGTTCTTGCTTGTTTTATAAAAGGCATTCTAATGCAATTTTAGAGAAATTGTAATTTCAGAAGTTATTATTTCTCAAACCAGTAGCTTATTCCTAAACTGTATGCTCTTCATCTCTTGTTACTGTCAACACACATTTTTCTCAATCACGTTCTTTTGCAGTAGACCATTATAAGTGCTGCAGATATGCTGGTGCTGTAAAGTATGACTAGAACTAAATGTAAGCTGTGGTTTGTTCATTTATATCCTGTGAAAGGCTGTCAAGGCACAGTTTGGCATACAATATAATTCACATTTTCCCCAGTTTGTGCTCAGGCTTGTGTGTGGAGGGCATTGTGGGAGAAATATGGTTGCTTGTACATGCACTTGTAGAGAATTATGTAATAAAATGGTGTCACTATCTTAACCCCTTAAGGACTGAGCCAAATGTACACGTTGTGAACAAAACAAAACGTAAACAAAACCTGGCATTTGCGCTACATGTCTGTCCAACCGTAATTCACCTCTTTCATATTAAATGCACCCACTCTTATTATATATAATTTTATTCAGGGGAAACAGGGCTTTCATTTAATATCAAATATTTAGCTATGAAACATAATTTAATATGAAAAAAATGGGAGAAAATAAGAAATGTTATTTTTTTTAGTCCTACATGACATTTTAACTGTTAAAGGACCACTCTAGGCAGCCAGACCACTTCAGTTTAATGAAGTGGTCTGGGTGCCAGGTCCAGCTAGGGTTAACCCATTTTTTAATAAACATAGCAGTTTCAGAGAAACTGCTATGTTTATGAATGGGTTAAGCCTTCCCCCAAAGCCTCTAGTGGCTGTCTCATTGACAGCCACTAGAGGCGCTTGCGTGCTTCTCACTGTGATTTTCACAGTGAGAGCACGCAAGCGTCCATAGGAAAGCATTATGAATGCTTTCCTATGCGACCGGCTGAATGCGCGCGCAGCTCTTTCCGCGCGTGCGCATTCAGCCGACGGGGCGGAGAGAAGGAGGAGAGCTCTCCGCCCAGCGCTGGAAAAAGGTAAGTTTTACCCCTTTTCCCCCTTCCAGAGCCGGGGCACCCTCAGGGCACTATAGTGCCAGGAAAACGAGTATGTTTTCCTGGCACTATAGTGGTCCTTTAATGTCATAATACTGTTTGCTTTTACTGCACATTTGTATTCAGCAAAGTCTCACGTGTAAAACAGTACCCCCTATCTACAGGTTTTATGGTGTTTTGGGAAGTAACAGGGTCAAATATAGCACGTTACATTTGAAATTGAAATTCGCCAGATTGGTTACGTTGCCTTTGAGACTGTATAGTAGCCCGGGAATGAAATTTACACCCATAATGGCATACCATTTGCAATAGTAGACAACCAAAGGTATTGCAAATGGGGTATGTCCAGTCTTTTTTAGTAGCCATTTTGTCACAAACACTGGCCAAAGTTAGCGTTAGTATCTGTTTGTGTGAAAAATGCAAAAAAACGCCAATTTTGGCCAGTGTTTGTGACTAAGTGGCTACTAAAAAAGACTGGACATACCCTGTTTGCAATACCTTGGGTTGTCTTCTTTTGCAAATGTTATGCCATCATAAGGGTAATTTTCATTCTTGGGCTACCATAGGGTCTCAAAGGCATCATAACCATTCTGATGAATTTTAATGGGAAAAAAAAATTAAACAAAAGCCTTATATTTGATGCTGTAACTTTTGAAAACACCATAAAACCTGTACATGAGGGGTACTGTTGTACTTGGGAGACTTGAAATATTTGTGTTTCAAAACAGTAAAAAGTATCACAGCAATAATATCGTCCGTGTAAGTGTTGTTTGTGTGTGAAAAATGCAAAAAAATTCACTTTTACTGGTGATATCGTTGTAATACATTTTACTGTTTTGAAACACTAATATTTGTGTTCAGCGAAGTCTCCCGAGTAAAACAGTACCCCCCATGTACAGGTTTTATGGTGTCTTGGAAAGTTATAGGGTTAAATATAGTGCTAGCAAATTAAATTCCCTATACTTTCGGCATGGGTTGTCAGGCAGGTCCCACTAATTGTAATTTAATTAAAATACCTAATTATGTAAAAATATTACATAAATATATGTAGAATCCAGTACTGTGTACAATACTCCAAGTGAGGTCTCACCAGTGTTCTGTACAATGGCATGAGCACTTCCCTCTTTCTACTGCTAATACCTCTCCCTATACAACCAAGCATTCTGCTAGCATTTCCTGCTGCTCTATTACATTGTCTGCCTACCTTTAAGTCATCAGAAATAATCACCCCTAAATCCCTTTCCTCATATGTTGAGGTGAGGACTCTATCAAATATTCTCTACTCTGCCCTTGGGTTTTTACGTCCAAGATGCATTATCTTGCACTTATCCACATTAAATGTCAGTTGCCACAATTCTGATCGTTTTTCTAGTTTACCTAAATCATTTACCATTTGGCTTATCCCTCCTGGAACATCAACCCTGTTACATACATACATACATACATACATACATATATATACATATATATATATTTCATTTTTTTTTTTTTTAAATATATATTTTTATTTATGTGTGTGTGTGTGTGTGTATATATATATATATATATATATATATATATATATATATATATATATATATATATATATATATATATATATATATAGTGATATATACTTATATATTTATGTATATAGATATATATTATTTCGTTCTACATGTATTTTGACATAAATATATATATATTAATATCACAATAGTTAGAACAAAATAACACACATCTATATATATATTTTTTTTATATTATATATAAATAATATTATATAATATTTAAGTATATAATTTTTTTTTTTTTTACACTGATTAACATTATTTTATTTGATTTCCAGCCAGCAGGGGGACTAACTGTGATTACAGGCATTCCCCCTGCTGGCAATGCAGCAGCCAGCTAACCCGGCCATGTGATTGTGAGGTCCTCGCAAGGAGACAGGATCCGTTGCGGGGGACTCCCTGGAATCCCAGGTGAGTCTCCCCAACCACGATCGCCGGCGACCGGGTAAGTAAGAAAAAACCGGAGGGCGTACTATTACGCCCTATGGCGTTTAGAGACGCTTAGAATAGGGCATAATAGTACGCTCCCAGGTTTTAAGGGGTTAAATTCCATATTAACTCCTCTGTACGGTAAACATTTAAAAAGAGTTGAAGAAAAACTAAACTGCAAAAACTCAAAGGTGACAGTTATTCTTTAAAGGAACACTGTACACCCAAATGTGTATTCCAAATGCTATTGTGTCTTAGTAACCGTTTAAGTGACCGTCCCCTCCCCTCAAGGGTTAGAAATGTATTTTGCTTACCTGTATTCCGATACTGCGCTCTCCGCAACTGGCTTTGCCTCCTTGGCTGAGATCAATCTGGTGTAGCAGTTTAGGTCCACGGTCTCCTTCAAAATGGAGTAAAATGCTTTTACACTTACCTTTTCTCCATCGCCATGCTGGTGCCGTGGCTGGCCCTGTCTCCATGGCTGAGATTATCAATCTTGACAATCTCAGACAATCCAATGCTTTCCCAGTGGGAAGCTATTGCGCATGCACGGCAAAACTCCACACTGTGCCATTCAGGAGTTATTTTCTATGTGGAGTGTTCAGCGTCTCCTTGCAGAGCATGGAGATGCTGAATGTAGGCCCTGCTCAAAGTGCATTACTGAAGAAGGTAATCTAAAAAAGTAGACATTTTTTTTTTTTTTTTTTTAAAGCCATGACAGCTAGGACTACATTTAACTCCTAAATGACAGAGAACTGAGCAGTGATTTAAGCAGGACTTCATCTGAACACCAACACCACTTTCACTAAGCCCTTATTATTAGTATTATTTTCTTTAGAGTGTATGATTGGTAAAGGCTGATTAATTTGGCTATCAAATCTACCTGATCCGATATATTAATATATTATTGCACAATTGGGAGAAAGAAAAACTATAGACCATTAACTGTTTTTTCCTCTTCTTCTAGTAAAAGAAGCTGGCAGAGACTTCACCTATTTTATTGTGGTATTGATTGGGATCGGAGTTACTGGTAACCATTACTTTATTATTTCTTTATAACTATGTCATTTTACCTTTTCACTAGAGAGTGTGGAAAAGTGTCTTCCCAAAATATGAGGAACCCTAAACATTTAGAGGTGGGAATACTGCAGTGCAGTACAGTACACAATAGGCTAATATTGGTTTATTAGTATCACATTTATGGTAAAAAAAAAAAAAAAGTAGCCCACCCAATTACTAAAGAAAATGATTTACTATATTTGTGTTCTGGCTCATATTTTCTGCCCCCTTTCTTCATGTGTACACTTCAGAGGTGGAATCTCCTCTCTTGTCCTTTTTATCTTTCTTTCCCATTGGGGGAGAGTTCCTAGTAATGGATTTTAAAAGGGTCCGATTTATGCTACAGGGCTAGGTGCATCTAGCTTGTTTTAATTCTATTTGTAAGCCCATTAAAACTTACTGACTCAGATAAGGAACACTGTAAAATGGTTTATTTGTATTGTTTTCATATTTGTTTATTCTTGCAGGAGGTTTGTTCTATGTTGTATTTAAAGAACTGTTCTCCTCTTCAAGTCCCAGTAAGATTTATGGAGATGCTTTGGAAAGGTGCCGATCTCATCCTGAGGTGCATTTATTAGCTTTCTTTTTTAAGTAAACAAACAATTGTAATCCCATCAGCATGTTTCATCAACCCTTAAGGACCAAGGCTCAACACGTTTGTAAACCGGTGTATGGGTGAAGCGCTATATGCAAATAGATGGCCAAAGTGGAGAGGTAATACCAAGTGATAAACACCAAAATACTAAAAGTATACCTTCTTTTTTATATATAATTCACAATAATCCTTTATAGGAATTTCCTAAAACATAAACAGAAAGATCCAAACATAGTGCAAATCTGTAATGTTTAAAGGTGTGGTAGAAATGTACAAAGGTCCCACTCACACTTTTAGGAGCTAAAGGGGTATAGCTCAATTGAAGCACTTTCAGAGTCCGTAAAGGCGACCCTTATCCCTTCTTTTAACTCTTCCTTTCTTGTATTCTGAAATGTATAAAGGAAAATACCTCTGGTGCAATAACGTAGGCTAGGTATATATTAAATAGTAAGGGAAATAGGGTACTTACAAACCCAGAGCCATCCACATCGGCTCTGATCCAATAGCTTGTGTGGATTAAGGACCACACTCCTTCTTTTAGAATAGCAGGAAAATGCCAATAGTGTCTCTCAAAAATATAAACTTTATTAACTATATATACAGTATAATAAAAATATAGGAAATATATTTGTATACAAAAAACACTATAATGGCATAAAATGTCCAGTAATTATAAAGTCTTTAGGCTCACAATGTTCCCAGGACGCGTTTCGCCGTGAAGGCTTCCTCAGCTGGATGTGAAAAAAAGTCTGTTACCTTCTTGCACTGGCTCCTGCTATATGTACCCCTCCTGGGGTGAAGATGCTTGTTTTTCGGCTTGAATTTTCGCGGGCTGTCATCATGGGAATGGTGACGCCCAGCGTATCAAGCCTCTTTCTCTCTTCATTTCCGGGTAGCACTATCGATACGTCACTTCCGGTTTTTTCGATCGCAAGCCGTCGCGTCATATCCGTGCGTTCCAGCTTGCGTTCCAAATGTGTTCCGGCTTGCGGTTCAGCTTTTCTATATCATATTGTGCCGGCATCATCACAGGCAGAGGGAAGAGGGAGAACAAAATATTTTGTGTATATTTATTAAATATTATAAATCTTTACCAAAGCTCTTTTGGTTCTTTCTTTTCATCTGTGTATAGTTTCAATAAAAAGAACGTGTATACAGGGAGTGCAGAATTATTAGGCAAGTTGTATTTTTGAGGATTAATTTTATTATTGAACAACAACCATGTTCTCAATGAACCCAAAAAACTAATTAATATCAAAGCTGAATATTTCTGGAAGTTGTTTTTAGTTTGTTTTTAGTTATTGCTATGTTAGGGGGATATCTGTGTGTGCAGGTGACTATTACTGTGCATAATTATTAGGCAACTTAACAAAAAACAAATATATACCCATTTCAATTATTTATTATTACCAGTGAAACCATTATAACATCTCAACATTCACAAATATACATTTCTGACATTCAAAAACAAAACAAAAACAAATCAGTGACCAATATAGCCACCTTTCTTTGCAAGAACACTCAAAAGCCTGCCATCCATGGATTCTGTCAGTGTTTTGATCTGTTCACCATCAACATTGCGTGCAGCAGCAACCACAGCCTCCCAGACACTGTTCAGAGAGGTGTACTGTTTTCCCTCCTTGTAAATCTCACATTTGATGATGGACCACAGGTTCTCAATGGGGTTCAGATCAGGTGAACAAGGAGGCCATGTCATTAGATTTTCTTCTTTTATACCCTTTCTTGCCAGCCACGCTGTGGAGTACTTGGACGCGTGTGATGGAGCATTGTCCTGCATGAAAATCATGTTTTTCTTGAAGGATGCAGACTTCTTCCTGTACCACTGCTTGAAGAAGGTGTCTTCCAGGAACTGGCAGTAGGACTGGGAGTTGAGCTTGACTCCATCCTCAACCCGAAAAGGCCCCACAAGCTCATCTTTGATGATACCAGCCCAAACCAGTACTCCACCTCCACCTTGCTGGCGTCTGAGTCGGACTGGAGCTCTCTGCCCTTTACCAATCCAGCCACGGGCCCATCCATCTGGCCCATCAAGACTCACTCTCATTTCATCAGTCCATAAAACCTTAGAAAAATCAGTCTTGAGATATTTCTTGGCCCAGTCTTGGCGTTTCAGCTTGTGTGTCTTGTTCAGTGGTGGTCGTCTTTCAGCCTTTCTTACCTTGGCCATGTCTCTGAGTATTGCACACCTTGTGCTTTTGGGCACTCAGTGATGTTGCAGCTCTGAAATATGGCCAAACTGGTGGCAAGTGGCATCGTGGCAGCTGCACGCTTGACTTTTCTCAGTTCATGGGCAGTTATTTTGCGCCTTGGTTTTTCCACACGCTTCTTGCGACCCTGTTGACTATTTTGAATGAAACGCTTGATTGTTCGATGATCACGCTTCAGAAGCTTTGCAATTTTAAGAGTGCTGCATCCCTCTGCAAGATATCTCACTATTTTTGACTTTTCTGAGCCTGTCAAGTCCTTCTTTTGACCCATTTTGCCAAAGGAAAGGAAGTTGCCTAATAATTATGCACACCTGATATAGGGTGTTGATGTCATTAGACCACACCCCTTCTCATTACAGAGATGCACATCACCTAATATGCTTAATTGGTAGTAGGCTTTCGAGCCTATACAGCTTGGAGTAAGACAACATGCATAAAGAGGATGATGTGGTCAAAATACTCATTTGCCTAATAATTCTGCACTCCCTGTATATACATATCGTTCTTTTAACTCACATGTATAACCTAATAAGCTCTTTTCTATAAAGACAATATTACATTAGTGACCCTATATAGGTAAAAAGTAAAACCAGAATACTATAAAATACATATAAAACTATAAAAATATACAAATATAATAAAAATACAATATATAGTGTTTCCTTTCAATATAAACACTAAATGGAACAAAACACTCCTAAAAATAGATCAAACCATACCATATACATTTCTATACACAGAGAATGATGGCACAAAGAATAATATCAAGAAAACATAAGGAGAATATATGAAAAATAAATAAGTCCTCTAGCCTAAAAAATATAAAAATAAAAATATAGAGCTGTGAAAGTATAACAGTATAAAAGAAAACAGAATACCTAAAATACCTATTTCAAAAAATGACACATTTCGAAGTCTGCATTTAATCCATTGGGGATCAAAGAGTCTAGTTTGAAAATCCACTCCATTTCACATTTGCTCATTTTTACATCAAAATTGCCTCCTCTCCAATCTTTTTCCACTTTTTTGATCCCTAAAAAGGTGGTATCTTTGGTTTCACAGTTATGGTAGTTTTTATAATGTAAAGATACGCTATGTTTTTCAAAACCCTTTGTAATATTTCGTCCATGCTCTTCTATTCTCGTGTGAAGTTGTCTTGTGGTTTTCCCTATATACTTTAGGCCACAAGGGCATATAATTAAATAAATAAGATTCTTTGAATAGCACGTAATGAAATCTTTAATTTGATATTCTATTCCCTCTTTGTTTGTATATGTAGTTATATGTCTTTTTTTATTGGTAGTTCTCCTACATGCCAAACATTGGCCACAGCCATAAAAACCTTTCTCTTAAATGGGTTGACGTTTTTCTTTTCTTTAATATAACTAGACGTAAGAGCAGTACGGAGGTTGCTCACCCCCCTATGTACAAAATGGGGTTTCTCTGGAAGGAAAGTTCTCACTACTGGATCCTGAAGAAGAATAGGCCAAAATTTTCAAACTATTTTCCTCACCTTATGATTTTCAGTGCTAAAATTACATATAAAAGGGACTTCTTTAAAACCTTTCTCTTTCTTTTCTTTATATTTTAAAAGACTGTTTCTTTCTATTTCTTTAACTTCTTTTCTAGCTTTTTCTAGTTCATATTTATCATATCCTTTCTCTATAAAATCTTGTTTAATTCTATCTGATTGCGTATCGAACATCTCAAGATCGGTACAGTTACGGTGTATTCTGAGGAATTGCCCTCTAGGGGCATTCTCCAACCAAGGAGAGAAGTGGCAACTTTCTCTTTCAATATAGCTGTTAGCCTCAACAGGTTTAAAATAATTTTTCGTTTTAATCCTATTTTCCTCTATATATATTAGTAGGTCTAAAAAAACTTCTTCCACTTTACTCCAATTACTAGTAAGTTTAATCCCCCATGTGTTGGTGTTAAGGTGATTTAGGAATAGAATAAGATCTTCCTCCTCTCCCTCCCAAATGAAGAAAATATCGTCGATGTAGCGGCCATAGGTAACCAAGTTCCTCCCCCAGCTATGTGGGCCATAGATATATGTGTCTTCCCAATAGGCCATAAATAAGTTGGCGTAGCTGGGGGCAAACTTGGTCCCCATGGCCGTCCCATTAATTTGGAGGTAGAACTCTTCATTATACCAGAAATAATTGTTCCTAAGAATTAATTCTATAGCTTCTAAGAGGTACTCAACCTTCATACAAGGCAATTTAGAAAAATTATTTAAAAAGAATTTGGCTGCATTGCATCCATAATCATGAGGAATATTACTATATAGGGCTGACACATCGCTAGTGACTAAAAAACAATATGGGTTCCAAGTGCAGTTTTTTAAAAGATTTAAAACCATGATTGTATCTTTAATATAAGAAATAGTATTTTTAACTAAAGGTTGAAGGTGAATGTCTACGTAGTGGGATAGTTTGCTTGTTATGGAGTCTATTCCCGCTACTATAGGTCTACCTGGGGCATTTTTTGTGTCTTTATGGACTTTCGGAAGGAAATAGAATACAGGGGTTTTCGGATATTTTATATTTAAGAAATTAAATTATTTTTCGTTAAGTATTTTTAAATTTAAACCTTTATTTAGAAAATTAGAGAACACTTGATTCATAATCGTTCCAGGGTTATAGTTGAGCTTTTTGTAAGTCTGTTCATCCATTAGGATTTTCTCAGCCTCTTTACAATAAAATTCTTTTGACATTAAAACAATCCCCCCCCCCTTATCCACTGGTTTTATGACTATGCTAGTGTCTGTTTTTAGATCTCTAAGTGCTTTCTTTTCTTGTATGGAGAGATTATAATTAAAATTTTCCTTCTTATCTAATTTTTTAATTTCCGTCATTACCATGGTCTCGAACGTAACCATTTTTTCAGAGATCATTTGTTTCGGATAAAACTGAGATCTTTCTTTTAATTGCGTGTATTTACTTTCTTCTTCTTGGTTGGTTTGAAGTTCTATAGGATTTTTTGCAAAGTATTTTTTTTAAACAGATATTTCTTTTAAATTTATTGAGATCTATATAAAAATCAAATTGGTTTAGGGGTTTACTAGAGGCGAATTTTAGGCCTTTCCTTAATACTTTTTTATGATATTCCGTTAGACTTTTTTGACTTAAATTATAAATTCCTTTCATCGATGTTATACTCTCTGTGTCCTCTCTCGTCTTTCTTTTTTTGCCATGTTTTCCTCCTCTTGTACCTCTATACTGGAATTTCTTTGTCTTTTGTAAGGAGTCATGGTGTCTCGAATTTCTTCCCTTTTGTGTCTCTCCTTTCCTTTGCTCCTCCAAAAATCCTGATCTTCAAATCGATCTAGTACTTGGAACCTGTTCCTCCTTTCTAATGGTTCATCTTTTTTATAATATGTGGATCTCTGTGGTGTAGGTCTATCTTTCATATCAGTTCTATAGTTATTTCTTTCTAATCTCTCCTCTTTTTTATGGTAGATAGGTTTATGTGCGGTGTTAGCTTTTCTATAGTCTGTTCTTTCTTTAGATCTATCCTTTACATACATCGGTCTCCTTTCATATCTTTCCCTCTCCCAGTTGTTCCTAGATCTCTCCCTATTTTGTGGGAATGTTACTCTAGATTTAAAGTTATCCCAATTTCTTTGGGGACGTTGTTCGTAATTATTTCTATACCTGTAATTGTAAGGTTTATGGTTATTATGTCTTGAATGTATGTTTTCTCTCGAATTGTCTCTCTTTTTATATGGGGATTTTCTCAAATTTAAACTTTCTTTTGGATACTCTCTATTTTCCAGATCGTTTTCTTGATATTTATATCTTGAAAATGTTCTGACCTGTTTGTTTTTGTAATCCTTAATATCTCTTAAGTATTTACTTTTCTTTACCTCTATCACCTCTTTTTCCAATTTATCTAGATTTTCATTTATCTCTTGGGTGGTATAGTCAAATTCTTCTTGATTTAATGTATTCAAAATTTCATTTTGACTTTTATTTATCTCTAGATCTAATACTTTTAGGTTCTCTTTCCTTCTTTTTATTATGAGGTTTATGGTTGTTATGGAGAAATTTTCCAACATGGAATTCCACTCTTCCATAAAAACCACAGCCTCTTTATCAAACGTTGGTGTTTTGAAATATCATAAACCTCTTGGGGTTATTCCTTCTTTCAGATATTTTTCTAATGTGGCTATCTCCCATTTTATTTTGAGTTCTTTTTGAAGCAGTTTCTCCAATTTTTCCCCTCCACTATTCTGTCCTATTCTTTTTTTATTATTGGATTGTAAATCTGTCCAATTTGCTATTTCTGTCTCCATATTGGTGAAAGAGCTGCTTCTTTTATCGAATAATGACATATTATTACCTTTTAGCTGCTGAGTACAAATAGTATAAAGATAAGACAAATACTAAAAAATAGAATCTAGAAAATCTACTAATATATATAGAGGAAAATAGGATTAAAATGAAAAATTATTTTAAACCTGTTGAGGCTAACAGCTATATTGAAAGAGAAAGTTGCCACTTCTCTCCTTGGTTGGAGAATGCCCCTAGAGGGCAATTCCTCAGAATACACCGTAACTGTACCGATCTTGAGATGTTCGATACGCAATCAGATAGAATTAAACAAGATTTTATAGAGAAAGGATATGATAAATATGAACTAGAAAAAGCTAGAAAAGAAGTTAAAGAAATAGAAAGAAACAGTCTTTTAAAATATAAAGAAAAGAAAGAGAAAGGTTTTAAAGAAGTCCCTTTTATATGTAATTTTAGCACTGAAAATCATAAGGTGAGGAAAATAGTTTGAAAATTTTGGCCTATTCTTCTTCAGGATCCAGTAGTGAGAACTTTCCTTCCAGAGAAACCCCATTTTGTACATAGGGGGGTGAGCAACCTCCGTACTGCTCTTACGTCTAGTTATATTAAAGAAAAGAAAAACGTCAACCCATTTAAGAGAAAGGTTTTTATGGCTGTGGCCAATGTTTGGCATGTAGGAGAACTACCAATAAAAAAAGACATATAACTACATATACAAACAAAGAGGGAATAGAATATCAAATTAAAGATTTCATTACGTGCTATTCAAAGAATCTTATTTATTTAATTATATGCCCTTGTGGCCTAAAGTATATAGGGAAAACCACAAGACAACTTCACACGAGAATAGAAGAGCATGGACGAAATATTACAAAGGGTTTTGAAAAACATAGCGTATCTTTACATTATAAAAACTACCATAACTGTGAAACCAAAGATACCACCTTTTTAGGGATCAAAAAAGTGGAAAAAGATTGGAGAGGAGGCAATTTTGATGTAAAAATGAGCAAATGTGAAATGGAGTGGATTTTCAAACTAGACTCTTTGATCCCCAATGGATTAAATGCAGACTTCGAAATGTGTCATTTTTTGAAATAGGTATTTTAGGTATTCTGTTTTCTTTTATACTGTTATACTTTCACAGCTCTATATTTTTATTTTTATATTTTTTAGGCTAGAGGACTTATTTATTTTTCATATATTCTCCTTACGTTTTCTTGATATTATTCTTTGTGCCATCATTCTCTGTGTATAGAAATGTATATGGTATGGTTTGATCTATTTTTAGGAGTGTTTTGTTCCATTTAGTGTTTATATTGAAAGGAAACACTATATATTGTATTTTTATTATATTTGTATATTTTTATAGTTTTATATGTATTTTATAGTATTCTGGTTTTACTTTTTACCTATATAGGGTCACTAATGTAATATTGTCTTTATAGAAAAGAGCTTATTAGGTTATACATGTGAGTTAAAAGAATGATATGTATATATACACGTTCTTTTTATTGAAACTATACACAGATGAAAAGAGAACCAAAAGAGCTTTGGTAAAGATTTATAATATTTAATAAATATAAACAAAATATTTTGTTCTCCCTCTTCCCTCTGCCTGTGATGATGCCGGCACAATATGATATAGAAAAGCTGAACCGCAAGCCGGAACACATTTGGAACGCAAGCTGGAACGCACGGATATGACGCGACGGCTTGCGATCGAAAAAACCGGAAGTGACGTATCGATAGTGCTACCCGGAAATGAAGAGAGAAAGAGGCTTGATACGCTGGGCGTCACCATTCCCATGATGATAGCCCGCGAAAATTCAAGCCGAAAAACAAGCATCTTCACCCCAGGAGGGGTACATATAGCAGGAGCCAGTGCAAGAAGGTAACAGACTTTTTTTCACATCCAGCTGAGGAAGCCTTCACGGCGAAACGCGTCCTGGGAACATTGTGAGCCTAAAGACTTTATAATTACTGGACATTTTACGCCATTATAGTGTTTTTTGTATACAAATATATTTCCTATATTTTTATTATACTGTACATATAGTTAATAAAGTTTATATTTTTGAGAGACACTATTGGCATTTTCCTGCTATTCTAAAAGAAGGAGTGTGGTCCTTAATCCACACAAGCTATTGGATCAGAGCCGATGTGGATGGCTCTGGGTTTGTAAGTACTCTATTTCCCTTACTATTTAATATATACCTAGCCTACGTTATTGCACCAGAGGTATTTTCCTTTATACATTTCAGAATACAAGAAAGGAAGAGTTAAAAGAAGGGATAAGGGTCGCCTTTACGGACTCTGAAAGTGCTTCAATTGAGCTATACCCCTTTAGCTCCTAAAAGTGTGAGTGGGACCTTTGTACATTTCTACCACACCTTTAAACATTACAGATTTGCACTATGTTTGGATCTTTCTGTTTATGTTTTAGGAAATTCCTATAAAGGATTATTGTGAATTATATATAAAAAAGAAGGTATACTTTTAGTATTTTGGTGTTTATCACTTGGTATTACCTCTCCACTTTGGCCATCTATTTGCATATAGCGCTTCACCCATACACCGGTTTGCACTACATCTTTGAAAGATAAGTTTGGGGTGTTATAGCAGCTGGAAATTAGTAGTATTCCTGATATAATTGTATCACATTGTATTGAAATATCAGCGCTGGTACATTTACCTGTTTTTTCTAGCTCAACACGTTTGTGACTGAGGCCATTTTGATACATTTACCATGCATTCTTTCTACCACAATTTTACCCTTTCTATTTAAAAGTTAAAATGCGAAAAAGTACACAGCTTAGTTAATCAGACCCACTGGTGAAAGCTAAATTTATTAGAAGAGCATGTCAAAATACAGACATTCCTGGACCCCTGTCCGTTTATCAATGTAACAGTGCCCTAGGTAAAAGGTTTTTTGTTTTTTTTCTGCTACATTTAGTGGGCACACTCCTACATATTTCCATTTCTGTTTAAAAGTGTTATATATATATATATATATATGTCTCACTTTTGGAGAAATACGGCTTTCTTGATACCCTACCTGTATACATAACCAAACATTAAGTATGAATAAAATATTTAAGAATGAAGAAACAAAATCATAGTTTTTGCATTTAGAATTTCTACACAAGTGCAACTAAATCAGAATAGATTAATTCAGCAGTCCTGGTTGTTAAAATGCTCAATGTGTGCAGGGTTGTAATTCATTTGCAGAAGTTATAAAACAAATATATTGCAAGGGGTGAATAAAAATTTTTCAAAGACCTTGCAAAATTTGGCATGCTGAGATTAGGACTTTAATAGTCACAGAACCCAAAACTGCTACACAAAAGTAAATACTACCAGAAAGTATAGCCCTCAGGCATTTTGACACGTTTAATTAATTTAACCATTTTATCACCAAACTTGGTCATGCCTGCTGGTTATGTTTACCATTTTGTGTGGGGGGGTTCACAAGTTCATGAGGAATTTCACAGTCTATGTGTGTCCGGGTACTGTATAGACCCCCTTATTTGTATTTTGCTGGTGTTCTCAAATACAATAATATCCCACATCTGTACTTTTGCCAGAGGTTTGAAGGACTGTAGGGTGAAATAACAGACATGCCCTTACTGAACATGCCTCTTGGCTGATTTACTGGGGACATGATTTGGTAAAGAGACATTATTATGCATGTCTCTGTACTGAGCATCGTCAAACATTGGTGCTATTTCTAAACCTAATCTTACCTCTAACACTAACCCTGTTGCAACCCTACCTCAGAGGGATTCCCACTGCTGATGTCATCTCTAGTATTAGCAGTGGAAATTTCCAGTTTATACAGTACAGAGTGCTCTGTACTGCATTATTGCTGCATTTGCTCTATTTTATCCTGCAGCTCCTGCTTTCTGTCTTTGCCGATCGCATAATGATTGCTGGGCAGCAGACAAAGCCCAGCGTTGATCATTGTCAGCAGGGGGCATGAAGGAAAACCTAACTGGGATCTTTCCATACTCCAGGGGCCTCACTCTGTCCTCTGAAAGCTTGTAATCCTTCAAGATTCCTGAGCTAATCACGGCAGCTGGGCATGATTATGATGATTTTAGAGAGATTTAAAGATCTGTGTGCCATGCTCACATATACCAAAATCACACTTTCACAACCACCCATTAACTAGCATGTGCTGACTTGGCCAGTTAGCCGCTCCATCATCTCTGACCTTACCCCTAGCATACCGCCCTTATGCCAACGCGAGGAGGATGGGAGGAGTCTCGCTTGGCAGAGTCATAGTTAAAGTGGGTGGTCTCTTGTGTAGAATGTACAGGCTCCTCGTAATACACATAAAAAGGGACAGGGAGGGGGGTAAACTCTTATAGATATCAGTATTTGACATCCATGTTTAGCCCACTGTCCCATGTTATATGATGTGGTAGGTTATTTATATTGTAGTAGTTGCAAACAAACTCCAAAAGGCAATGACCAGTACCATTAGAAGTTGGTAATCACATAGAAAAGATTATATTATTATACAATCACCAATATGTCTTAAGTCAAATATCATACATCAAAGAAAACATATCATAGGTGGCACAATACATGAATTTCATACTGGTAAATGTGGATTATCAAGCTTTAAACATCTTGAGACCCAGAAATGCTGCAACGTAAGACTATGTGATCTTAAAGGGACCCAGGCATGGTAATTAAATGCGGCCATCAGTGTATTGCATGTCCCTTTCAAAATACAAAATTACATACTGTGGCGGAACCAACCACCTACTTGTATTATTTACCCTTCTTTTGGATTGTAATTGCGGTCCATCGAACGGATTATAATTGTGGTGTTCGTATCCCAAACAGTTGGAATTCGTGGAACTCTTTTGGGCAGGCACCTCGTGTGCGGTCGGTCTAAACTATACCCTGGTGGCGTTTCGGCTTTCGGGATATGTTGGGCACTCAGATCCAGGCTCTCTGGGGATATATGACTCAGCGGGGCACCCAATTGTAAAGTGTGTATTTTGGGGTGTTTTTGTTATGTATGTCCTGGACCTGAGAGTTAATATAATTATGGGTGTATTTTGTAACAGTCCTCTCTCAGGTCCAGTGGGGAAATGTATTATGTTACATGAGACCCCTTGCATGGGGACAAACATAAAAGGCCCTGTGTGGCTCCTATTAAAGGAGTTGACTCCCAGTACTGTGTGTTGGCCCAACCTGAGTCAAAGTTTGCCACACATCTTATTTGTTTTGGAGGATCTAGACTATTCTTATCCCCAAGAAATGAGTCTCTTTCGCTGAGCAGTACTCTCTGATAGGCTCTTTTTAGACACCTATTGGGATAACCCTTCTCTTTGAATCTTTGTCTACGTTGGATAGATTTTTCCTTAAATTCTTCAATGGAAGAGCAATTGCGTCTTAACCTTGGATACTGACCATCCGGAATACTACTCTTCAAAGGTGTCGGATGATGGCTATCCCATCTAAGCATTGTATTTGTTGAAGTGGGTTTCCGATAAAGGGTGGTACTGATCTCAAATGTATCGGTTATGGTCAGAGTGCAATCCACAAAATTAAGGGAGGGGGTCCCTATTTCAATAGTAATTTTTAGATTTAGATTGTTTACATTCAGATACTCAATGATGTAATTGAAGAGTTCCCTACTCACCGTCCAGTGATGAGGACGTCATCAATATATCTCTTCCACAAAAACACATTCCAAATATGGGTTAAAAGCCTCTGAAAAGACCATGTGCCTTTACCACCCCACGTGCAGGTTGGCGTAAGACGGGGCACAAGATGTCCCCATCATAGTTCCCTGCACCTGGTGATAGAATTAGTTGTGGAAGAGAAAGAAGTTGTGCGTTAAAAGCAAATGGGGAAAAAAAAAACACACACATATATATATATATATATATATATATATATATAATATATTATATTTAAAAAAAGAAAAACTACCACAACAAGAGGTCTTAAATTAGAGAGGCAAAGGTTTAAAAATATCAGGAAGTATTACTTTACTGAGAGGGTAGTGGATGCATCGAATAGCCTCCCAGCTGAAGTGGTAGAGGTTAACACAGTAAAGGAGTTTAAGCATGCGTGGGATAGGCATAAGGCTATCCTAACTATAAGATAAGGCCAGAGACTAATGAAAGTATTTAGAAAATTGGGCAGACTATATGGGCCGAATGGTTCTGCCATCACATTCTATGTTTGATAAATGCAGAAGGGCATGGAAAAAAGACGTGTGGTTCTGGTATTCAGATCCCCTAGTCTCTAAAAATAATTTTGTGTTCTCAATACCTATTGAGTGTGAAATTTATGAATATTGGGCCTCCACGTCCAGACTGCAGAGGATATAATTCTGGGGTACGTTAAGTTCTGACAAGCATTAATAAGTGTCTCTTGTATCTCTACATGGTAAATTCTCTACAAAGGTGCGTACATACAGCCTCAAATTGTTGGAACCTGAAACTATAGGTCTTGCCGTGAGATTGGCATATTGTTTGTGGACCTTCGGAAGGTAGTAGAAAGTGGACACAGTTGGCTTGTTTACGTAGATATAATTATACTCCTTTGTTGATGACCTAGTCATCATAGGCTTTGTCAAAGAGAGGTTTAAATTCTCTAAGGAACTTAACAATAGGATCCCCAGTAAGTAGACATTAAGTTTGTCTATCATTTAGTATTGTTTCTGCAATCTAAACATAGTGTTTCCTATTCAGGTGAACTATGTTGCCCCCCTCATCAATGGGTTTCATGATGATGTCCTCATTGTCGTGCAGGTCCTGCAGGCCCCTCCACTCACTTTTTGTGAGATTACCATGTGGTCTCAAGAGTAGTGATTCTGTGGCCATTTTTTGAATAGTATTACAGGTTGATTCGACAAATAGATCAATGTTCCTTAAAGTCCCGAAAATTGGAGTAAATGTACTCCTTGGTCGGAGATCTGTGTGGAGTTTGAGTGAGACATTATCATTACTCTCAAGTAGAGATACCAGGTCCTGAAGGCATTGGTATTCCTTAAAATTAAACCCCAGTTCCTTAGCCTTTTCTCATCCTTAATCATGTGAAATTTGTGAAGTGCCAATTGTCTGCCGAACAGATTTATGTTCTTTATCCATTCAAAATGATTAAATGGTGGAATGGGGACAAACGAGAGGCCTTTCATCAAAGACCTTAGTCTGTACTGTGGTTAGGGTAATGTCTGAGAGATTGATGACATTTCCCTCACCACCTAATACTGTCTGCGAACTCTCCCTCTGTTGCGTGTCGATCTGTATTGTGGATGAGGATCCCCCTCTTGGGGGTCCTGCCCTAAAAAAGAAACTCCTTTCTTCAAAATGCCTCCAGAGGCCTGAGCATTACAGCTTCCCTGAGGTATTTGGGGATTCTCACCTTCTGTATCAGATGTTTCATAGTCTGAAGTTGTACACAGGTCTGACTCTACTCTGGTAGATTTTTTTTTTTTAAACGTCTATAGACTTTCCTAGATTTATAATCATGATTGAATATAGCAAATATCAGAATACAATCAAAAGTAGAAAACATCACAAATTCCTTAGAGACAAAAATGATTATAAATCTGGGAAAGTCTATAGACGTTTCAAAAAACATTTGATGTGTATTACGAGGAATCTGTACATTCTACACACGAGACTACCCACTTTAACTATGACTCCGCCTAGCGAGACTCCTCCCATCCTCCTCGCGTTGGCGAGCTGTGGAGGTGGGAGGGAGTCTCTACATAAGGGCGGTATGCTAGGGGTAAGGTCAGAGGTGATGGAGCGGCTAACTGGCCAAGTAAGCACACGCTCCCTCAGAGCTGCCATTGGCTGCGGTATTTACGCGATCAACTTTTTCGACCCGATATAAGGAGACCCAGGTGAGCGGCTAGTTTGAATGCCCCAGATAAAGGCGCTTTAGTAGCGCTGAAACGCGCTTTGAATTACTGTTTTTTTTCCCATTATTTTTAAACACAGTTATTTTTTGCACTTTGGTTATGTAGTTAACAGTATCTTATGGGGGATTATTCAGCACTCTATACAATTAGATGCGTAGATGCTCTTGGAGGGAGTTTTGAGACTGGATTGGGTGACCAATTGGGAGATGTTCTGGGAGTTTTTAAATTACAGAAAGTTTGGCAGCATGAAACCTTTTTACTTATATTTTTTTAGTTAGCGACCTTGAAGTTGAATCTTACCAAGCTAGCTGCATGAAGGCTGATGCATATTTCCTTTTTTAGGTGCCACCAATAGATTATACTATATAACTATTATTCTATGCAACAGTCATTTGTTGTTTGGATATACTGTTACATAAGGTTACACTTTTCTCTTTCTGTATACGATGTTTCCAATTTCTTCACATCAAAACAGTTCACCAATATTAGTGGTGTAGTTCTACAGGGCTTTTCATCCCCTACTACCACTAATGGGTTTTTGCAACTGATATTAGGTTTTTCTCCTGGAATTTTCCCCTACTCCCACTTTTATGCCCCTCAGCCGACTCCAGTCCACTATAGATTCTCCCCTATTTGGCACTATGCAGAGCCTTTAATGGGTTAATGTTAAAAATAAATTGTCTCTAAGTATTTTTTTTAAAAAAATTGTATATTAATTGTATATCCTTAGGGGATCCTTTTGTGTTCACTGGACTTTAAACCCATTGGACATTTACATATTTTTCTTGTTTTTCATATATATTATATGCAGTATGGTTATGCAGAGTTATTTCTGTTTTGAACTTTTTTCAATGTGACTACTACAACATGTGATTACTTGACTGTTGTTTTTAGCTTAATTCTGCTGTGATGTTTTATTGACTTGCCCATGGAGCTTTTCTCATGAATGAGTTGATTGCCTGTGATATTCCTCTAAATAGAAACTATAACTGCATGGTTCTAGATTCTCTCGGTAAAGTGTAATTTAATCTATCTGGCATATGAAAGAATTCTCAGGTTTCAGTTGCCTAACGGTTTCCCGAAATGGTGATAAAATAAGACATAACCACAATGTGCTAGTTTGGAAAGGAGGGAAAGTGAAAATCAAACAAATGGTTTAAATGGGAAGAGATTCCACTATAGGAAACAGACATGATGAAATAGAAGAGTGATTTAAATGGATATCTGGTAATGGGCTGCATAGTTTGGACTTTCAAGGCCATGCATTAGGACTACTTTGCAACATTTCAAAATTTTTACTTTGTTTTTTTTATTCATTTCTAATAGGTTATTGGAGTGTTTGGTGAGCCCATCAAGGGTTATGGAGAGACCACAAGACGAGGAAGAAGACAACATGTTAGGTACACCTTTAAATAATGTTATGTGAATACGTTTTTGTTAGGCTATTTCTAATAATTTATAAAGGCTATTTTATAGATTTTCTCCAGATAAAGAAAATAATTGGTAGAATTAAGCACTGCACAGTTTCAGCCACATGAATCAAATAATGAAAATACTGAATAGTCAGTGTAGATCCTTTACCTATCTACCTGATCCCTATCCAAGATGCCACAAAAATGTCACCTCAGCGCCCCAGAAAAAGGCACACAAGACCATAGATATATAACCCAATGGGAGGCAGGCCTGTCGCAAACACTGGAAGGGTTTTACTGGGTAGACATTTGGGAAGCCTCTAGGAAAAGTTCAATATACGTCACGCTCCAGGAGCAATCATATAAAATGCTAATGAGATGGTACACCACACCAGAGAAATTGTTTAGAATTCGTAAAACTACCACGGATGAATGCTGAAGAGAACGCGAGAACAAAGAAACCTTCATCCATTTGTGATGGAACTGTCCAACAATAGCTAGATTCTGGGTGCTAATGAAAGATCTTCTAAAGGAGATGCTAAGAAGACAAAAAAGAGACAAACTGCTCTCCAGACCAGTGTTGGGCCTCACACCCAAAGAACAAAAGCTGTACAACAATATCACGTTAGCAGCATGATGGGCAATAGCCCAATCATGGCTCAAAAACATAAAACCGACTATGAATCAAGTTATTCTTAAAATAAAAGACAACTACCTAATGGGAAAACTGACAGCACAGGTCCGAAACACAGAGTCAACTTTCACAAAGGTTTGGCTACTCTGGGAGGAATACCTAGAAAACTAGAGGTTCAGGGGACACACGACAGACTGGGCCCGGAGCGGACAGCGGCCCCATGCTTTCATGTCGCTCCCTTCGAGTCCCCCTTTCCCATTTTAGATCTCCCCTCTCTCATACTGTTCTTCTCCTCCTTAACTATTCCTCCATATATTCTATCTCTTCCACCTTTGGATATTAAAACTAAAAACTAAGCCAGGAGATTGTATATTGAGCAGACACACGTTGGCAATGTGAGAAACAATAACACGGGCCAAAGGGCTGACACACCAGTAACTCCAGCAGGTACTGACCACAAACTGCAAGCACAGAGGGCAAAGCAATTGTAAACCTTCCCCACTCCGCCACAATCCTTCACCTGACTATCTCAAGTACAATGTAACTAATTTATGTCTCATGTACCAAAGTTTTAATACACACAACAATGTAATCCATGTCGAATATCATGTAAAACCCTTCTAGAACGGTGTACTTCACCTTTATTTTACTGATACGTGATGTCTGCACGTTACATATTTTATCTCTACCTGTGCTCACAAATAAAGTATTTAAAAAAAAAAAGAAAATCCAAGTTCACATGTTCATCTCTTCTTTCGACTAATTAAATAATCTTTTAGTTGTTATATGTCTAAATATGCTGTCCATTATTAATAGTGCATCCTGTATGATGACAAAAAGAGAATGGCCAAAGTATTTCTTGCAAATCAATTTTCTTTTCCATGATATTCTTCCTACATTTAAGTAATAAAGTACCCTCCTACCTTTGTGTGATTGCCAACATAGAGCCCTTATTTAAAAAGACACTACATGCACCAAAACAACTTCATCTAAATCAAGTTGTTATGATGCCAGGAAGCCCCTGGAGGCACTCTTACCTCAAGGAATTAAACCATTCTCGAACGGTATAACCCTAAAATCGCCTCCAGCGGCCATGCCACTCACGCCCTCGGTGGCATCTGGCTTTTGAATATTCAGATTCAAAAAGTGCAGAGTGCCGTCTGGCAGGTGCGCTGCTGAGAGCTGTAAACTGATGCTCTCAGGCAATCAGTAACTCCCCATTCACTAAACACTCTCAGCCAATCAGTGAAACCCCATTCACGGCTTGGAAAAGGTATGATTCTTTCCAAGTCAATTTTGTCAAAGCCACTGATTGGCTGAGAGTGTCAGTTGACTGATCTCAACCAATCAGCGGCACCCCGCCTGGCGGCTCTCAGTACTCTTGAATCAGAAAATTCAGAAGCCAGATACTGCTTGAGGGGATTGGACATTACTGCTGGAGGTTACTTTGGGATCAAACTGTTCGAGAACGATTTAACCCAGTGAGGGGCTGCCTGGCACCATAGTAACTTAATTTAGATTAAGTTGTTTTGCTGCCTGCGGCGTCCTTTTAAGTAAAAAAAAAATATTCAATAATATATTGCACTTTGCTACCATTTGAAAAAATTATTTAGGAAATTACACCCTGTTCCAAATTATTATGCAAATGATATGTCAGAATAGCCTCCCAGAGCTGCTGTCTGGATGTAAACTGCCTCCAACACTCATAGATATTTTGCTTGAGGATGCTCCAAAGGTTCTCAATAGGATTGAGGTCAGGGGAGGATGGAGGCCACACCATGACTTTCTCTCATTTTTTCCCCATAGCAGCCATTGATGCAGAGGTATTCTTTGCAGCATGAGATGGTGCATTGTCATGCATGAAGATGATTTTATTACGGCAAGCATAGTTCTTCCTTCTGTACCAGGGAAGAAAGTGGTCAGTCAGAAACTCCACATACTTTGCAGAGGTTATCTTTTCCCCCCTCGGGGACCATAAAGGGTCCGGCCAGCTCTCTTCCCATGATTCTGGCCCAAAACATGACTCCACCACCGCCTTGCTGACGTCGCAGCCTTGTTGGAACAGGGTGGCCATCCACCAACCATCCACTACTTCATCCATCTGGACCATCCAGGGTTGCACGGCACTCATCAGTGAACAGGACTGTTTGAAAATGAGTCTTCATGTTTTTTCCTGCCCAATGCAGCAGTTTCTGCTTGTGAGCATTGGTTAGTGGTGGCCGAATAGAAGGTTTATGCACAGTTGCAAGACTCTGGAGGACTCTACACCTTGATGTCCGTGGGACTCCAGAGGCACCAGCAGCTTCAAATATCTGTTTGCTGCTATGTAATGGTATTTTAGCAACTGCTCTCTTGATCTGATGCATGGATCTGGCAGAAATCTTCCTCAATGTGCCTTTATCTGTACACACCGTCTGTGCTCTGAATCAGCCACAAATCTCTTAATAGTGCGATGATCACGCTTAAGTTTTCATGAAATATCTAATGTTTTCATACCTCGTCCAAGGCATTGAACTATTTCACTCTTTTTGGCAGCAGAGAGATCCTTTTTCTTCCCCATATTGCATGAAAATGATGCTCTGCTTAATAATGTGGAACATACTCCTTTAGTAGTTTTTCCTTAAATTGGGCTCACCTGGCAATCTAATTATCACAGGTGTCAGAGATGGGTTTTCAATGATCAAAAGAGCCCTGAGACACAATGTCATCCATGAGTTAAACTGAAAAACAAAATATTTAATCTTTGTGACACTTAAATAGAATTTGCATAATAATTTGGAACAGGGTGTATATACGGAAAGGTTGGTTTGCATAATGAAGGGAGTTTTACAAATTGGCCAGGTCAGATGCATTTTGATCCATACAGTCAGGTCCATAAATATTGGGACATCGACACAATTCTAATGTTTTTGGCGCTATACACCACCACAATGGATTTTAAATGAAATGAACAAGATATGCTTTAACTGCAGACTTTCAGCTTTAATTTGTAGGGTATTTACATCCAAATCAGGTGAACGGTGTAGGAATTACAACAGTTTGTATATGTGCCTCCCACTTTTCAAGGGACCAAAAGTAATGGGACAATTGGCTGCTCAGCTGTTGGCCAGGTGTGTGTTATTCCCTCATAATCCCATTTACAAGGAGCAGATAAAAGGTCCAGAGTTCATTTTAAGTGTGCTATTTGCATTTGGAATCTGTTGCTGTCAACTCTCAATATGAGATCCAAAGAGCTGTCACGATCAGTGAAGCAAGCCATCATTAGGCTGAAAAAACAAAACAAACTCATCAGAGAGATAGCAAAAACATTAGGTGTGGCCAAATCAACTGTTTGGAACATCCTTAAAAAGAAAGAATGCACCGGTGAGCTCAGCAACACCAAAAGACCCGGAAGTCCCCAGAAAACAACTGTGGTGGATGACCGAAGAATTCTTTCCCTGGTGAAGAAAACATCCTTCACAACAGTTGGCCAGATCAAGAACACTCTCCAGGAGGTAGGTGTATATGTGTCAAAGTCAACAATCAAGAGAAGATTTCACCATAGTGAATACAGAGGGTTAACCACAAGATGTAGACCATTGGTGAGCCTCAAAAACAGGAAGGCCAGATTAGAGTTTGCCAAACAACATGTAAAAAAGCCTTCACAGTTCTTGAACAACATCCTATGGACAGATGAGACCAAGATCAACTTGTACCAGAGTGATGGGAAGAGAAGAGTATGGAGAAGGAAAGGTACTGCTCGTGATCCAAAGCATACCACCTCATCAGTGAAGCATGGTGGTGGTAGTGTCATGGCGTGGGCATGTATGGCTGCCAATGGAACTGGTTCTCTTGTATTTATTGATGATGTGAAGTGTTTCGGGCAATATTTTCTGCTCATATTCAGCCAAATGCTTCAGAACTCATTGGACGGCGCTTCACAGTGCAGATGGACAATGACCCGCAGCATACTGCAAAAATAACCAAAGAGATTTTTTTTTAAGGGAAAGAAGTGGAATGTTATGCAATGACCTGACCTGAATCCGATTGAGCATGCATTTCACTTGATGAAGACAAAACTGAAGGGAAAATGCCCCAAGAACAAGCAGGAACTGAAGACAGTTGCAGTAGAGGCCTGGCAGAGCATCACCAGGGATGAAACCCAGTGTCTGGTGATGTCTATGCGTTCCAGACTTCGGGCTCTAATTTACTGCAAAGGATTTGCAACCATGTATTAATAAGTGAAAGTTTGATTTATGACTGTTAATCTGTCCCATTACTTTTGGTCCCTTAAAAAGTGGGAGGCACATATACAAACTGTTGTAATTCCTACACCGTTCACCTAATTTGGATGTAAATACCCTCAAATTAAAGCTGAAAGTCTACAGTTAAAGCACATCTTGTTTGTTTCATTTCAAATCCATTGTGTTGGTGTATAGAGCCAAAAAGATTAGAATTGTGTCGATGTCCCAATATTTATGGACCTGACTGTTTATACTTGTACTCGCAAAATCCAATAAAGAGGGAGTTGAATAATCTGTATATTAAGTGAGTAAAGTGAATACTCTTGATAATATGGATGTAAACGGCAACCGTTTCTTAAATAATTTAGCTAACCCATTCACCATTTGTTTTAGATGGAACACTTGTATGGGCCAAGCATGACATTTTAAAGTATTTTTGATGCATTTATAGCTGTCCAGACTTTCCACAAAAAAAAAATTGTGTTTACTAACCTTGACAGTATTGGATGAAATATCACACAGTTGCAAATATCCACAGTCTTAGACATATGGCTGCAGGCAGTGGTGTATTTTGGATTTGTGCTGCCCTAGGCATGACGGAATTCGGGCACCCCCTAATTTACATTTGCCACACCTCTTCCTTTTAAAGGCTAGCACACACTTTGACTGACAGACACACGCTCTCTCAGATATACTGACCTATACACACTCACTGATTTGACACAATCTGACACACACACAATCATTGACTCACTCACAGACACACAATGAAAGACATACACGCACAATGAGAGAGAGGCACTGATGCGCACACACACACTCACTGACTGACAGACACCCACAGACACACACACACTCTTACAGGCATACCCAATCACAGAGAAACACACAATCACTGGCAGACACGTACAATCACTTAGACACACAGGCTCCCTCACAGACACACACACAGTCTTTCAGACACAGGCTCCCTCACACTGACAGACATATACACACACACACATATATTCCCCCTAACACTCACAGATTATTTTTTTACTTTAAGTGAAATCCACCCAGCCTCCCTACCTTTGGGATAGCTGGGTGGATTTTTTTTTTTTTTACCTGGGGTCCAGTGGGGCTGCTGGCCGGGCTGTTTGCCCGCCTGCCTTCCTGTCCAATCAGTTGAGGTCCAGGTGGCAGCGAGGGAGCGCTGATTTATAAGATCTTACTGCTCTGCTTTCTCGCACGCGCAGAGTGATGCCGGCTGCCGGAATGTGACGTCATATTCCAGCTCCTGGCATCACTCTGTGGTGCTGCTTGCCTGGACCTCAGCTAACCGCCTGCCTCGAGGCTAACTGGGCATTTGGGGGCAGTGTTTTTTACCGCCCCCTGGAATGTGCCACCCATGGCAAATGCCTTGTTTGCCTCATGGCAAATACAGCGCTGGCTGCAGATATGTTATTTGGTCAGTTAAACTTTTACAGCAATGTGAGGTAAATTAATGGGTTGAGGTGTATTTTCTATTATTGTTTGAAATAAAATTCCAACTTCTTTTAGTTCTCATTTCCAATCTTTCTTTGATGTTAACAGTTCCCATTTTGTTTAGTCACATAGAGTATGTAAAAGATGGACTAAAATGTATGCGGTTAAAGTTCTATATTCAAGGCTCGGAAGCAAGAAAGCAAGGAACAGTGCATTTGGAGGTCAAAGAAGTATGTATTTTACATAGGATATTACATGTTAACGCTTAAGTCCTTTGGAATTGCTAATTGTGTATTTTGTTGGTTTTTTTTCTGCAGAATCCAGAAAATGGAAAATATGAATTTCAATACATTTTTGTTGAAATTGATACATATCCAAGAAGAACAATTGTCATAGAAGATAACAGACACTTACCTTTATAAGAATGATTTGAAACTTTGTCAAGATTTTCTTTTTTATATTTGTATCTGTATTCAGAAAAGGAAATTACTGCAATCATGTGCCATAATTGTATTATGTTTTACTGTGTATAATTTGTTGTGATGTAGTGTTATTTACTTACTACTTTTCAACAAGAGGAACTAAAAGTGAACTATTAAAATCCATGCGCATCATAATCAAAGTGCTTTAACTGTTTGAATTTATTTGGATTAGAACACTATGAATCCTGATCTGTGCCTTAAACTCCATTTATAAATGTACAAAAAGAAAATGTAATTTCTATTCTGTTTTTTGAATTTCTGTATTTTTTTTTCCATGAGATCATGGCATATAATAACTTTGGTTCTTTTTTCGTAAATGTATTGGCAGGGATGTTTGATCAATTTGTATGTCAGTCGGTTAAGTATTTCTCTGCTAATTAAACCGCAAATTTCCTATCGGGCAGGTAATTATTCCACAGTTACCATAAATAAAAATAATAGTGTACAAAAACCATTGGACTTCATTTAAAAAAAAAACTGGAATTTCCCAAGAAATTACAAATTTTAGGTTAAAATGTAAAAATGTCTCAGTCTGGCTATCTGTGCATAAAAAAATATTTCCTTATCAACTCTGCAGTTCCTAATATTGCACACACTTAAACATTATCTAAGTACCATAATTCTTTGTTGCGTGCTTGGGTTATAGAGAGAATATGTCGACAATCTTATTGATTCCATCACGCCTATATCTGTTCCTTATCAACTCTATGGACCATTAATTTGTAGTTCATGTCTCATTACCAAATTGCAGCTATTTGACCCTCTTCCACACAAAGCAGAAATATCTAATCTTGGGTATCAGAAAGGTAAGCTCCCTTGATTTGCATCCCTTTTCGAATTACATAATTGCATAATTCTGTCCTGTCTACTGCTTTGAACATGGCTGTACCTGTGAAAGCCCACTGTAAGTGCCAGCTATGTCTTCAACCCTTGCCTATTTTCAACAATATTCCAGTTGTTGTGGCTCCCGACCCGCCACATGGCGCAGCCGTACCCAACTAGCACGACCTTGCCGATATTGCGAGCTTACCTGCTTGCCGGGAACCGCTCCTCCGCGTCTTCTGGGCGTTGCGCCCAAATCAAAGATGGCGCACACCACAAGCTCCGCCCCTCAAATTTATACGGATGTGCGCACGTCTGGTTCCCCTGACTTGGCTTGTTTCAACGGTATCTGAGTATTTCTGGCTTCCTTGACCTCGGCTTTCCATTTGACCATTCTTTATCTCTAGCGTATTAGTCCGGCCATTCTAAGGTCCGGTTTACGCTCTGTCCTTTTATTTCCTTTCCTTTTTTATATATATGTTTACATAGTTTCTGTGTGTTGGACCACACTAGCAGCCATGACACCAGTACTGCAGAATAATCTTGCATCACACCCGACTTCCCACATTGCAAATTCATGCTACACCCGTATGCTTACACAGTCTACCTTAATTAGCGTTATTATTTAACATTCTCATCAGCACCTGTTTTCTTGCCCCCATATGCCTTTTTCATTTGTATAACTTCCTTTTCTGGCCACTGCAAAACCACCAAAATTTATCTCACAGCTAGTGACTTTGCATGTCATGTATCTGCCAAGATAATCAGATTAGGAATCTCTTATCCCACTCTTCTTGATCCCATCCCCTCTTACGTTCCCAAATCTCTCCCCTCTAGTCTTATCCTATCCTTAAAGTGACTCCTGACTCCTGGCCAAACAGTTTTCCTGGCCCTGAATGTCCCCTCCCACCTCCCATCCCAGGTTGCTGAGGGGGTTAAAACCCCTTCAGTGACTTACCTGTATCCAGCGCCGATGTCCCTCAGCGCTGGGTCAGGCTCTGCCAACTCTCCTTCCCCGCCGACGTCAGCTGGCAGGGGAGACATAATGCACATTCGTGGGAATTGCCGCACACGGCCGCACGCGCGCATTACACCGCCCCATAGGAAAGCATTATTCAATGCTTTCCTATGGGGATTCCGGCGATGCTAAAAGTGTCATAGACAGTCACTAGAGGAGGACTTAACCCTGTTAGGCAATTAGTGCAGTTTATGGGAAAACTGCACTAATTACACTTGCAGGGTTAAGGGTAGTACCTAGAGTGTCCCTTAACCACATATTTTCAATGTTCCTCAATCTACTGCCATTTTCATTTCTTCCCACATTCCTTGAATAGCTACTACTTGACCTTCTCCTTTTACTTACTGTCCCTTATAACTGCTCCCTTGCAATTCTAGCCTTCTTGATCAGCTGTTTTCTTTATCAGTCTAACTCACTTTTTGAATACCAACTTCATCCTTCACCCTCTTTAATCTGGCTTCTGTTTCCCTCATTTTATTGACACTGCCTTTACCAAAGTGACCAATAAACTTATGCACATACCCCTTTCAGTTGCATTGAACAAACCAAATGCCTGTTAATTGATGGATGAACAAATAGATTAGTTTGTCCATTGATTTAGCAAGGTTTTGAATTGTTCAACGCAGCTGAAAGGGATTTGTGTACAAGTCTAGTGATTAAAAACATAATCACATACTAAATGATTAGCCATTGGACATAGTATTTGATTCTAGCTCTGGCACTCTGTAGCAACAGGACCTCAAATTTTACTTCTAATTGTCAAATCCAATATAGGAATGGTCATCCACAGAAGGTAAAAGCACAGTAATCTGTAAGCATATTTTTCATTAAAAAAACTTGTTCAGTCTGGTCTGGCGCCGGACCCAGGTAAGTGACTGAAGGGGTTATTAACCCCTGCAGCGCTGCCGGAGGGGGCCTTGACAGAAGTGGAAGCTACAGTCAAAGGCTCATATTCCTTCTTTAGTGTTGTTTTGAGGATGTACTGTCTGTTAAGTGAGGAAATGCACAACTCTTTTCTCTTTCTGAAAGTTTGTTAGGAAACCCTATATTGATAATCTTGGCAATCAAGCCTGTCTTCCAATACTGAAACCTCAGATACATTTCTGACCACCCTAGTAATGCGGCCTACATTTTTTAATTTAATAATAAAGATAGTAACACAAGAAAATAGGTGAACATATGAGTTTTATTTTGGTGGGATTACATTATTGTAAGAAGAACAGTAAGTGAGTAGAGCCAGATTAGATACACAATAGAAGTGGGGGGTAACCCCTAATAGAAAATGAAAAATACAAGAAGAGGAATGTATCTAATACATGATGCGAGATATATGCATCAAGAGAAGGGGTTCAAAATAGCCAACAAAAGGCCTACTATATAGGCCAGACAGAACCACAAAAATGAAAGAACAAAAAATAATAAAGATTTATTGAACACTACAAAAATGTAACCCAAATATGTGCTACCCTATAAACACCTAAAAGTTAAAATATAAATATAAATACAGGTCGTATGAAAATAATAAAAACAAAATATAATTGCAGATCAAAATATAAGAAACTATTACTATCGGTAGTAGCTAGTAATAAGTCAGGTTAGAAGAGCAGAATGCCGATCTAATGGATCAATAATCAGTGGTGTGGTCTGGTACTATGGAGACCAAAACTAAGCTAGTAGATTAATATAGGTCCTATCAACCAGTGAGTGTGACATAATCTAGAAAGCTGTTCCTGTCCATAGTGGCTAATGATGTGCCATACATTCAAACACCCTGGTGGTTCAACAATAGATTATAAAGTCTGTTGATTGAAATGTCAGAAAATGCTATTGGACTAAATAGGTCCTTTAAATATCTGAGAAGGAGTTATAAATATCAATAGAAAAAATGAGATCATTAAATGAACGTTGAGCTGATATTTAAACCAGTATTGAAGTGGTTAAAGTGGTAATCTAAATCGAAGGATACCACTAATTAACTAGATATAAGGGGTATATATAGAACGGCAGCAGCCAATAATCGTGGTACCGACAGTAAAGCATACATGAGAATAGCTAGGAGGGAGAGAGTAGAACACAGACACATGTAAAAGTCAAGTAGCAATAACCAGTGCTACAAAGTATCATATACCAAAATTGTCCAATGATACAAAAAAATATATAGTTAACGATATGAGAAAAAGGTAGCACCCTCTATATAAATATGTGTCCCGTGCCTTCAAGGGCACCTAGCTCCAACCCCCCAAAGATCTATTAGTTAAGATAGAGCTATAAAAATTAATAAGATCTGCAAAAATAGGAATAAACACTATATATGTTTGAATAGAAATATAGAATGAAAACAGCGCGGTCGCTAGTCTGTGGCCTGCGCTAAGGATCCAAGGAGCGCAGCACACTACAATCCTCTGACGCGCGCGTTTCGCTACACCTAGCTCGTTAACTATATATTTTTTTGTATCATTGGACAATTTTGGTATATGATACTTTGTAGCACTGGTTATTGCTACTTGACTTTTACATGTGTCTGTGTTCTACTCTCTCCCTCCTAGCTATTCTCATGTATGCTTTACTGTCGGTACCACGATTATTGGCTGCTGCCGTTCTATATATACCCCTTATATCTAGTTAATTAGTGGTATCCTTCGATTTAGATTACCACTTTAACCACTTCAATACTGGTTTAAATATCAGCTCAACGTTCATTTAATGATCTCATTTTTTCTATTGATATTTATAACTCCTTCTCAGATATTTAAAGGACCTATTTAGTCCAATAGCATTTTCTGACATTTCAATCAACAGACTTTATAATCTATTGTTGAACCACCAGGGTGTTTGAATGTATGGCACATCATTAGCCACTATGGACAGGAACAGCTTTCTAGATTATGTCACACTCACTGGTTGATAGGACCTATATTAATCTACTAGCTTAGTTTTGGTCTCCATAGTACCAGACCACACCACTGATTATTGATCCATTAGATCGGCATTCTGCTCTTCTAACCTGACTTATTACTAGCTACTACCGATAGTAATAGTTTCTTATATTTTGATCTGCAATTATATTTTGTTTTTATTATTTTCATACGACCTGTATTTATATTTATATTTTAACTTTTAGGTGTTTATAGGGTAGCACATATTTGGGTTACATTTTTGTAGTGTTCAATAAATCTTTATTATTTTTTGTTCTTTCATTTTTGTGGTTCTGTCTGGCCTATATAGTAGGCCTTTTGTTGGCTATTTTGAACCCCTTCTCTTGATGCATATATCTCGCATCATGTATTAGATACATTCCTCTTCTTGTATTTTTCGATTACATTATTGTGTTACAGTAGCAAAGATAAGCAGACAAATAAAAAGTAGCTATTTTCTTTTTCTTTTTTTTTTGTCAATCTCTGTTTTATTGAGGCAAAAGGGTATATGGTACAGAATAAAGAATAGGAAGTGTCAAACAGAGGGTGTAAAGCATGCACAATGAACATATATTTTTATTGGAAACTCCAGCTTAAAACTGCCTACACCCTTTTATATTATCGTATTCTTTCTTTGATATCACTTTTCCCTTACCTTTTACTTTCTCCATTTTCTTTTCCCTTTCCTTTCTTTTTAGGACAAAAACAAAACAATACAAGATGTATAAATCAGGTTGAACCATAGTGTAGCTATAGGAGTAGTAAAAGTAGCTATTCTATCAGTTTATGTCAACAATGCACCTCATGCTTACAATCTGGCATATTAACTAACTATCCTCAAAGGTTTTAAAGAAGAGGTGATTTCTATTATGCAAGCCAAGAAATATTCAAACTGGAGAATGTACCAGCGCATCTGGAAGTTTTTTTGTTTTGTTTTTTAAATTTGTGTAAAAGTCAGAAAGTTGGCCCTCTATCAGCTACAGACCCTCAAAATTTGAAGTTTCTGTATTCAGGCATAGGTTCATGTTATGTCCAGATTGCTGATTTTGAATCGTTGTCTAAATGCAATATAGCCAATCATGCCCTGGTCAGATAAATTGTTTGTACTATCCATAATATCAAGCCAAGATACCTTCTGTCTCACTGGGATTTAAATTTGGTACATTTTGGCTTATGTTAAAAGGCTTTTCAGTCTTTGCCAGATATGTCACGGCAACTGCTAGGAGACAGTTTTTGGGTCACTATAACTTTATTTAGAAACATTTGTGTTAAGCTGTTTGCCTACCTTCCATCCAAGGTTTTTTTCTTTAAGGGATCACATAACCCCTATGTAGCAAAACACAAAACGGTGTGGCTCTTGTATGATATTTTGTGTAGTCCATCTAATTCCAGTTGTGACACTATCTTCCTCTTGACAATGTCCAAACATTGTGGTACTAGCTGTTTTGGTGTTAGTGTAGATAGTATAGTTCCCAGATATGTTTCATGCAGTCCCTCTCATTGGGTCTACTTAATTTCTATTGGAGTTCTTTTCTCATATTCTGATCAGACATTATTAATTGATACTACCTGGATTAGAAACAACTAATGGACATGTTCCTTGTGGAGCATGCCCTGGATCACAAAAATACTCCAAAATAAGATGGACAAACTCCTTAAGAATATGACTGTATGATCATAGAATTCATATTACGGGTCCAGGAAGTGAACTAACCTACAGCAGATCATGGAAAATGTATTGGTTTTGGTAGCCCCAAATATGTTGTTACCTGTAATACTTGTCACAGAGAAAGTATATTTTGATATATACTCTGGTTTGCACATTTTGAGGTATGTTGCCTTAATATTCCCACAGACTGCAACAGCAAAAATAATTTTTCGATTGCCAGAGATAAACTCATCTTTGCTAATAGAATCCAGCTCTTAGGATGCACCTGAGAGTGCTCCACACAGTTTTCAGATTAAAGCACACTTGTCAAATACATACGCAAACTACCAAATTGATGAAAGTTATGGGAATGCATGTAGAATTTAAATCAGATTTACAAAGAAGAAACAGAATACTTTAGTTGCATAAATATTCAGTTTCTTTAGCTGCTGCAGCCCAAAATGAGTTCAGCTGCAAATGAATTGTTGGAAAGGTTAGACAATTAGAGAAATGGTTGTCGCTTGTGTAATCAAAGCTGTTTATCTTATGAATACGTTACAGGCAATGTATGATTTCATGCTTCCTGCTGGATAATTGCAGAATGATTTCTTCTGGGTAACCAGATGTTATTCAAACAATGCCAAACTCTACCAAGACTTTATGAAGAAAAACAAAACTAAACGCGTTTTTTTACGTCCAGTATAGGTGCTGCTTAGCAACGATGCCGGGATGCTTCACTAAAGACCATACTAAACCTAACCTGTAGCTTTATTCCAACATAGAAAATGTTCAACATTTTGTGATGGGATTCCAGCATGGTCAAAATTTAGTAGGCCAAAATCTCCATGTGCCATATGTGTATGTTGTGTCAGTTGGTTAGCTACATGTAGCTAGGATACTGTCATCAGTGTACTGAGCATGTGCAGGAATGCAGGAACTGGAATTGCACTTATTTCCTTTGTCTTGGATGAGCCATGTGGTTTGACTAGATGTACAAGTCTATATTCTGCTCATTGATTGGTTAAAGGTATATGTGGGTGTAGCTATTAATGGGAGGAGTTATAGTGCTATATAAGGAATGTACACTATGTGTTGGTCTCTCAGAATGTTGGAACAGGAGTTCATCTGAGACCCGATCGGTAATGTGAATAAAGGCCTCTTACTTCCTGAAGAAACCTGTGTCCATATCTCTGTGTTTGGCTTCTGCATGCTTACACTGCAACATTTCCAGTATCACTGGGATATAAACCAAGCCTAAACCTAACCCGTAATGTTGTGAGACTATGTTTGAAAAGGACTGAAACGTTGGTCCTACTAGATCTCACTTTTTAATCTTGCTAATAAAGAAGATATTTTATTTAAGACAGTGAGTGCTGACATTCCTCACATATTTTGGATAACCAAAGTCCCAGGCTGAGCACCCGGCACAAATATGTATATTTCAACATTTATATATATATATATATATATATATATATATATATATATATATAGAAGGCTGAGCCTTTTGGTGAAGCCTGGGATTGTGGGAGGGGTTAATTTGCCTGTACATATAGAGGCTTCCCCTTCCTCTGTGCTGTTGCTGCCTGGTTCAGATATCTACCTCCAGTTCAAAGGCCATCAACACAGACTGCCTAAACTCCAAACAAGCTGGTATTGGCCTAGTGTGGCCCAAGCAAGTATTAATTTTCCCTCACCAACGCAAATTCAGCCAATTTCAATTGTACATAGTATCACAGAGCTGTCTAAATTGTTCTCATGCATTCTGCTTACTGTATTTGGCCCTAACTAGGCCATATCTACTTTTATCATATGCAATTCAGATAGTCACCCTGCTTTTTAATGGTTTCTTTAGGGCTCTTGGTATTCAGGCATGCATTCTCTGTACACAATACAACTTAAAAAATCCTTCTCCTCTATAAAGGGGAATATCTTCTAAATGTCTAAAATATATATGTATATATATATATATATATATACACACAAACATAAATATATATATTTTACTAAACAACCTCAAACTCATTAACTCAGCATTTCAGTTAGTCAACCTACATTTTAATGTGTTTTTTGTGCCCTCTTGGTATTCCAGCACTCATTGTGCATACATTGTTTAGTAATTATGTGGCTAGGTGTTGCAACTGACTGTCTAAATTTATGTCGGGTCCAAACTTGGGCCTATACATGTGGTTGAGGAAATAGAAATATACGCTTGTATATACATTCTCTGTACACAATTGTAAAAATTCCTTATCCTCTTTAAAAGGGAATATCTTCCAAATATCTAAAATCTTATTTAAACAACCTCAAATTATTAAAATGTATCATATGCATTTCAGTTAGTCACCCTACATTTTAATGTTTCTTTATGGTTGCCAGCTTGGTATTCCAGCACTCATTGGGCATACATTGTTTAGTAAATATGTGGCTAGGTGTTGCTACTGACTGTCTAAATGTATGTCAGACCCAAACTTTGGCCTATACATCTGGTTAGCATTTATGATACTATCTGTTAATAATCTTTCTTATTTCACTTCCGTTACTACTTACGTTGGTTTAGCCCTTTCTGTGCTCCACACGAGCCTAGTCAAACATACTTTAATATTATGTTGGTCATAATGATGTCAGGCCCAAACCTGGGCCTATACATGTGGTCATGATAAATTTATGATAGGTCCAAATCTGGGCCACTTTGGTCATCCTGCATCTATTTGGGTGGTTTCATTATCTCCTTCATAGGTCTGAGATTGAAAATGTGCACATAGCTAAAGTTGTAAGTAAATATGATTATACTGGTCTTGTTTCAGGTCCTAAGCCATTTACACATGGCTTTACTAGGCCTTCATTACATTCCCATCATATGGCCCTCTGTGGGCGACATTATGACATGCCCACCCTTCATGGCTGCCTTGGGTATATATATATATACAAATCCTTCTAACAACATTTCATTACATCACTTAGTCTCGCTAGGCCTAAATCAACCAGTAAATATGGCCCTATGGCTGTTTGACCTGGCTGTCTCTGGTACAGCTCCTATCATTGACCCACTTTGTTGGTGCCCTATACCTCCCTACTGGATATACTCCTGTAGGTTGTACTTTTAATGGGTGAGCCCCAGTTATTGCAGGTGTGTATGTGACCTTCCGCTGGAGTATTGCTCACCACCTATGTCTGGCTCAGGTCAGGCTATCCGACGTTCTCGAAACCCGAGCACAGTCACTGCTCCTGGCAGTTGAAGGGGTTCTTCCATCGACCCAAACACTTGAGACTAGTTGGCTGAACTGAGTTGGCTTGATATTGGCAAGTTTCAAAAGCTAAACAGACTTGTCCCTGATTTGTTTCTGATTGGGAGACCAGTTGTTGCTGACACCTTAGGTGAAAATAGGTTAAACTCAATTTTTTCACAATATTTGTTACCTGGATTCAGCTGTCATTGGTGAGTGGGCTTTACGTTCTATGTACGTATTAGGATATGCTAGAAGGTCACGGGGGTCTAAACGAAGATGTGTGGTATTGCTTCGGATGGATACCTAGATTTCAGACCTCAAGTTCAAAGACCTGGATCCCTTGGCCTATGGCTTACTCTTGAGAGTAGCATTCTTCAGAAAGTCACGAACACAGGGAACTAGATGCCTTACTCAATTATACCCTATATTAGAAACATAAAATGTGGTGGCAGATAAGAACCATTCGGCCCATCTAGTCTCTCCAATTTTCTAAATACTTTTATTAGTCCCTAGCCTTATCTTATAGCCTTATGCCTATCCCACGCATGCTTAAACTCCTTTACTGTGTTAACCTCTACCACTTCAGCTGGAAGGCTATTCCATGCATCCACTACCCTCTCAGTAAAGTAATACTTTCTGATATTATTTTTAAACCTTTGCCCCTCTAATTTAAAACTATGTCCTCTTGTTGTGGTAGTTTTTCTTCTTTTAAATATAGTCTCCTCCTTTACTGTATTGATTCCCTTTATATATTTAAATGTTTATATCATATCCCCCCTGTCTCGTCTTTCCTCCATGCTATACATGTTAAGATCCTTTAACCATTTCCTGGTAAGTTTTATCCCGCAATCCATGAACCAGTTTAGTAGCCCTTCTCTGAACTCTCTCTAAGGTATCAATATCCTTCTGAAGATACGGTCTCCAGTACTGCGTACAATACTCCAAGTGAGGTCTCACCAGTGTTCTGTACAATGGCATGAGCACTTCCCTCTTTCTACTGCTAATACCTCTCCCTATACAACCAAGCATTCTGCTAGCATTTCCTGCTGCTCTATTACATTGTCTGCCTACCTTTAAGTCATCAGAAATAATCACCCCAAAATCCCTTGTGAAGGATCTCTTGTACTTACCCGTGTGCCTTCAGTTATGTCCTCTCCCTGCTGTTTAAATACTTGCTTAAATGCTTGTATTCAGTTCGTTTGGTTTTGTATGTGAAGGCTTGTGTTCGTCTACCAAACAAGAGACCACCTACCCTGGGTAGCAATCAGCAGTAGAACGGGGAGAAAACCACAACTTCATTGCTCCTGGGTGGCCGCCATTCGGCATACGAACACGTGGCGAGAACAAAGGATGGCGGCCATCTTAAAACTCACGAACGCGGTCAGTTTTGTATTGCATAAATTGTGAGTCCTGTGTGCCAGTAAATCAGTCTTGTTCCAGCATTAAGGCTCATGTGTGGATTATTCGGCGATTCCAGGGATATTTCTACTTGTGGAATATTGGGTGATTTTCTTTTATGGGAAGAAGGGAATGCTTGACGGTGATACCATATACTACCGTCACATCCCTTTCCTCAGATGTTGAGGATAGGACTCTATCAAATATTCTGTACTTTGCCATTGGGTTTTTATATCCAAGATGCATTATCTTGCACTTGTCCACATTAAATGTCAGTTGCCACAACTCTGACCATTTTTCTAGTTTAACTTAATCATTTGGCTTATCCCTCCTGGAACATCAACCCTGTTACATATCTTAGTATCATCAGCAAAAAGACATGCCTTACCTTCAAGACCTTCTGCAATATCACTAATAAAAATATTAAAGAGAATGGGTCCAAGTACAGATCCCTCAGGTACTCCACTGGTGTCAAGCCCAAGCTTCGAATATACTCCATGGACTACAACCCTCTGTTGCCTGTCACTCAGCCACTGCCTTACCCATTCAACAATATTGGAATCCAGAATTAAAGATTGCAATTTATTGATAAGCCTTCTATGTGCAACAGTGTCAAAGCCTTACTGAAATCTAGATAAGCAATGTCTACTGCACCACTCTGATCTATTATTTTAGTTACCAATCCAAAAAATCAATAAGATTAGTTTGGCATGATCTCCCTGAAGTAAACCCCTGTTGTCTCTGATCTTGAATTCCATGTGTTTTTAGGTGTTCAACAATCCTATCCTTTAACATGGTTTCCATTACTTTCCCCACTACTGAAGTAAGGCTTACTGGCTTACAGGGCCGTCTTTAATTTAGATTGGACCCTGGGCGAGCATTTACTTGGGCCCCCTGACTACGTCTAGATACACACAAATACACTACCTGACACACATGCAGATACACACTGACCACATATAGATACACACAAGAACATACAGATACACACAGACTACATATAGATACACTGACACACACACAGATACAAACACTGACACATGCAGATACAAAGATACACACACTGACTACTTATAGATACACAACCTGACACACATGCAGATATACAGATACAAACACTGACACATACAGATACACACACAAATACAAATGGACAACATACAGATACAGAGACACATTCTGACAGACGTACTGACACAGACTCACACACAGAAAACCATACTGAAACACACATACACAAAGACATACTGAATCACACAGACATTGATGGACTCTCACACACACAGACATACAGATACACTGACAGACATACTGGCACATATACACACCAACAGACGGACATACTGAAACACACATACACACAGACATTGACAGACATATTGACAAACACAGACATACAGAACCACACTGACAGACTCACACATAGACATATTGACAGACATACACACATTCTGTTACACACACACAGACAGACTGAAACACACAGACACAGACACTGACAGATATACACACATACAGACATTTTGAAACTCACAGACAGCCATACTGAAACACACAGACACTGAGACTCACAGACACAGGCATACTGACACACTGACAG